CATAATGTCAATAAATGCAAGATAAAAATCACAAAATACAAGGTAATAAGTGCTGCCCAAAAAAAGACAGAAGGGTTTGAATGATACTTCAGTAACAAGATCAACAAAGCGCCCATAGTCTGGAAGTAATGCTGGTTCTCCATAGCTCATGTTGACAAGATCACATTTATGCTGTAACATTATTATAGAAGTCAGCATAACAAAAAGAGATACTGAACGTATTGACGTGTGTCAATGCATACCTCACATACAATAACCCACACAGATAAGAAACTTTTCTGATGTTGCGAAGTTATTTAAGAGAAATACGACTTGTTTTCGCTCAAACTTGAAAGGATGTAACTTTATGAAGTTACAATTGTAATCATGGTAAATTCATTTCAGCCAAATGAATTATTACCTCCAGGGCAGCTATCAATGCCCGTGTCAAGCCAGTTCCGGTCTCCATTGAACCTAACCGAGAGTCTCCAATTTTGCAAGATACTATCTGTGCACCAGGTGCTACACCATTTAACAAATGTTCCTAACATACACATAGAAAAGGAGTTAACTGATTGCTACAAATTATCAATATAAAAACTATTCCATATAACAAATTATCAATACAAATGCGTTGGCACCTCAGGGTGGTGTGCAGTAGCTATTCCAGCAACATGAGTGCCATGAGGAGAACTATCAGTTACAATGCTTAGGACATTTCCCTCATCATACACGTTAGTAACAAAAGAGCATGCATCTAGTCGGCTAAACACACCATACTTCCGCTCAATTCTGTATTACATATTAGATTGAGGTGAAAAGAAAAAAAAAATGGTGGAAGAATTATGCTCCCAAACGATAAAAAACCTGAACTTTCATAAGAAATAGATTTTTAAAGGAAGAATTGCCTGTAGTTAGTCAGGGGGAAGAAGTCTGCTAATTTCCCACAATCTGGATCCTCTTCAAGACTCTGCGTATCAAGTGCAACCCTCCATACTTCGCCATCATGCCACACAACAGCATCAATAACAGGCCCTTTGTCTTCATATTTCTACAGAAAACAAAACAATTGATTTACAGAGAAGGTTCAAGAAAACAGCGAACAAGTATATGCAGAAATAAAATTACCAACGGGCAGTCTCGAAGCTTACATCAGCTTGTTTTTTCAGAAAATCAACTTTGCTTTGGAGGTCTTCGCGGGTCTTCTTCAATTTCGCATCTTCTACCTTGCTGTGCTTCTGCAGGAAAAAAATGACAAATGAGGTTAAGATAGAATTTAAACAGCACTGCCTAACTCAACATCCACGATACAGGAAAGCAGATTCAGTATCTTTGTAGCACCTGATCGAAATCATACAGATTCTTTACAGCCTTTGCAATCTCTTCCTGATTCTTCTCATCCCAGTTTTTCCTTCTCTCTTTCTATGTGAAAAAAAAAGCAGAGAGAGATATTAGACAACTGAAATTGCAGACAAGATTTATATAATTTGATGAAAATTTTACGAGAGGATGAAATGAACCCAACAGCCAAAAGAAATCACAACTCTAATTGCTACCTTAACACGAGAAGTTAAGTCACTTGTAAATAGCTCATAAACCAACTTGCAACCTACACGCCACTCTCCTGTGGGGTTTTTCCATGACGAATTGACAACCAAAGGTACCCCTGCAACAATTTTTTTTTAAACAGAGGAAATGAGCAACGTATAATATAACTAGAAAATTGACAAGCCATGAGCACGAAAACTATTATGCAGATACCATAAATATCTCTTTCTAGATCGAATCACCAACCTGATGCTCCACGGATATGGCCATCTTCATTGGCTTTCACTACTGTGGAGGTATCTATATCCCCACTTCCAGTGCTGAACAATGAAAAAATGGATACCATCAGGTCAGTCACTTCGACAAACAAAGAACACCGGAAACAAATTTCAAGTAAACCCCAAATATACCAGTCAATGACGTCCAGAACCTTCGGTTTCCCATCAGAAGTTACATGCAAGCCAGCAGCAGAAGGATCAAAACCAGAATCTGGAAAACAAAAAAACAAATTCCCATTTGCTCAGTTCCTCAATTTATCAGACTTTTACTCGGAGAGTTACAACGCCGTCTTTAAAACCAAACAATCGCTCTATTATCTAATCCAGTACACGCAACTTAACTATAGCGTAAAGGTCATGCAAAATTCTCTCCATAAACAAACAAAACGAAAGGCAAAGTAGTAGTACCAAAGATAGCGATAACGACGCCACGACCGTCGTACTCAGGATGAGCTTCAACGAAGCGATCCGCACTGATTTCTTTCTTAGGCATGAGAGAAGCAAGGAAAGTAGACTCGTTCAGCTTGAAATTAGCGACAGAAGCATTCTCAGCTCCAACACCACCGGCACCACCACCACCTCCTCCGCCACAACCGACGCGAGAAGCCGTAAGAGTCTCAGAAGAAGAACAAGGCATCGCCGAGGAACCACTCCGTCTTAATCGAATTCCACGAGAACGAGAGCAGCTTCTTCTTCCGAATGATTTGAGTCTTCGATGAAGAAGAAACGGAGAAGAAGAAATGAAATCACGAGGACGAGAGAGTGAGGAAGAAGAAGCCCAATAAGAACGACACGACGGGCCTTTGATTAACACGCCGTGAAGCTGTAGCTGCAGCAGACTCAGATCCATCTTCGGGATATGCGTTTGTTTTTTTAGTCAATACTTAATAGGGGTATTTTGGTCAATTAACCACCTGAGTCGCTTTGCTACACCGGACCGTGCGTGCGTGCGTGGTGACTCGTGTCGTGAGAGGACTTTGTGCTTTGTGGTGTCAATGGAGTTGGTGGTGCCTGGTGGCTTACTCTAACTGGTGGCTTGGCTTTGCTCTATCTGGATAACGAGATTGTTTTTTGGATTATAATTTCCTGATTACAAAGTTTCTTAAATCGTTTAAATTGAGAATAAACCAATTCAATAAGTTGGATTCACTCAAATTTGCTACTTGGGGTTCTCGCTCGCTCGTTGTATGAGACTTGTTCTCCATTGTTATCGTCTTTTAGCTTGATGAAAGACAAAATTTAACAGTTCATAGATTTGGGACCTTGTAGTTTGCACTTCTCACTGATTCCATTTGAGTTTGTTAATCTTGTAGACGTCGATTTGACTTTCTTTCTAGATAGATGATTATACGATAACGTAACTAATTTGAAAATTAATTAGGATTGTATACACGTTTAGTTTAAGATTTAGTATTTCAGAATATGGTATATTGTGTTAGTTATGTCATGTGGGCAATCTGAAGAATCCCTGAAAAGGGGGAGATCTTTGGGCAGCTTTCTAATTTGTGTCAGCAAAAATCAAAGAGCTATGCAAGTTGAAGAAAACATATTATCAAGATATTGAGTTTTGGTCTCTCCCAACAATAGCTGTTGCTATAATCATATGGAATTATGGATATTGCTATTGTTAGATGGATAGCTTCTTTGGAGCTTTTACATTTGCTTACGTACGCAGCTCTCTCATGTTCAGAAACTTAACTTGTGTTCTTCATCATGGGTCAGCGTTTGTAACTGCACCCATACAAACACACACACACACCTAACACACAAAAAGATCAATCATTCTTCATACAATCTTAATTTTAAACTAATTTTTCTCGTTATTTTGTTTTGGTCATGATATATATGTATATCGAAATAAGTACGAATCTATTCTTGATTTCGGATTAGGTATCTGTGGTTGTGAGGAGTACGACGACGAAACTTAGTTGTAACAACACTATTATATAATCAAATCAAATCACAAAAACAAAGACTTCCAGAACTTTGATACACGTTTTTTTGGAAGCAATGCGGCGTTGACATCAGAACCTGACGACGTTAACTCTTCATTTCTTGTTTTTTTTTATTAAAAAAAAAACTTAAATTTATATTCTCCTAAAGTGAGATCAAATTTGTTTTTTTGATCCAAAAATAATTGCATAATGAAAGACGTCATTAGTATTAATTACTTTGAATGTCAAAGAGTATGGGACGTCGTTTACTTTTCTTCGTTTTCATATTTGCACCAGCTTGCATAGTTGCATGTACATATATTATTTTAATTTCCCTCCAGCTAATTTATATGACTTCTCACAAGTTTTATACAAAGAAATTAAAACTAAGGTCCTTTTAAATACTAATATTGTGGAATATAATTTACACCGTTTGGTGTAATGTTTATTTAAGCTTTAATTCTGATTGATAATCTAGAAGCCATATATTGCTATTCAAATCTATCACCCAAAATTAGACTTGAAAATTACTCCTTCTAGTTTGTAATTTAGTTATAATATATATAAGATTGTTGGCACAACAAAAATATAAAGATATTTTAACTCTACAGTAGTTAGTAAGGACAAAATACAAAACGTTACACCAAATTCAAATATAAACATCTATCTTTATGAAAGTTCTTTTTCTTTTCCGAAACATCTATAGGAGTTAAAACTTATAAGTAGTCATATTTAATTTCATTCTATTTGTGTAATGATCCCAACATGCATGACTCTAATTGAGTATTGAAAAAACACCAAATCACTAGTCTCACACAACTCTATAGATGACAAAATTACTTGAAATGGATATGATAACTGCAAAATGAAATACCCTTAATAAAGCTAATTCTTATTTAATATATATAATGTTATTTTTTTGTTGCTGTCATTTTGTAACAATGGAGGTCTACATCTAAGAATGAGCCAAATAATTTTTCAACCGTGTAATAATTATCTCCACGTTTGGGAATTTGCAGTATTTGTTAAACCGCGTAAGTGATCACAATTCTCCCACATCAACTAAGCTTAATGGTCTACTTTTGACTCTGCAAGTTTTTAGATAGCGTCTTTGTTTTAGCTACTCTTCCCAAAATATATAATCAGTAATTAATATATTTTCTATCATGACGTTGATTTAATATCATGGTCAAATAAATAAGGCCAAAATTGAAAATCTATATAAGCATTCTTACTTATTCATCTCTGCAACTCATTCAGTTTCTCAAACACATCTCATATACTAAACCAGAAAAAAGATTTATCAAAAACGTCGTTACTTCTGCTTTGTCTCTGATACTTCAAACACAAGAAACAGACAAAAAAGATAAACATGAGAGAGCTTGTTTTATCTATGTTTCTTATCTTCTTTGTTTTTCAATGTGTCAGTTCTGTTCCTACAAAAGAACAGTTCGAAAGCTGCTTGGCGACAAATTCAATCTTCAAAAGCCCTTTCAATCACACACAAGATTCCCAAATATTCACCGACTTTTCAGAACCTTCATCATCTCCAAGTTCAAGTTTCCTCAACTTGAACTTCACCAGCCTGAAGCCAATTCTGACCTTGAAACCGAGATCTGAAACCGAAATAAAAAAATCGATTCTGTGCAGTAAGAAACTTGGGGTACAAGTAAGAACCATGAGTGGTGGTCATGACTACGAAGGTCTGTCTTACCTCTCACTGTCACCTTTCATAATAGTCGACCTCGTTAACCTCAGATCGATCACAATCAACCTCACAGCCGAAACCGCTTGGGTCCAGTCCGGTGCAACACTCGGAGAACTCTATTACAAGATCGCAAAAACCAGCAAGGTCCATGCCTTTTCTGCAGGGATATGTCCGAGCGTTGGAGTTGGTGGGCATATTAGCGGCGGAGGATTCGGTACAATCATGAGAAAACACGGTTTAGCGTCTGACAACGTTGTAGACGCGCGTTTGATGGATGTAAACGGGAGAATCCTTGACCGGAAGACAATGGGAGAGGATTTGTTTTGGGCGCTTAGAGGAGGTGGAGCCGCGAGTTTCGGCGTTGTCTTGTCATGGAAGGTTAAGCTTGCTAGGGTTCCTGAAAAGGTAACTTGTTTCATAAGTCAGCATCCAATGGGACCTAGCATGAACAAGCTTGTTCATAGATGGCAATCCATAGGATCAGAAGTAGATGAAGATCTATTTATGAGAGTTATTATTGACAACGGTCAAGAAGGGAACCAAAGGACAGTGAAATCTACATTTCAAACTCTGTTTCTTGGTGGAATCGATAGATTGATTCCTCTGATGAACCAAAAGTTTCCGGAACTCGGTTTACGATCTCAAGACTGCAAGGAAATGAGTTGGATCGAATCGATAATGTTCTTCAACTGGAGATCAGGACAGCCATTAGAGATCTTGCTCAACAGGGACCTACGATTCGAAGATACGTATTTCAAAGCAAAATCAGATTTTGTTCAAACCCCTGTTCCTGAAAACGTTTTCGGAGAAGTAACCAAGAGGTTTCTCGAGAAAGAAACTCCATTGATGATCTTAGAGCCATTGGGTGGGAAGATCAACCAGGTTTCAGAAACAGCGTCTCCATATCCACACAGGAGAGGGAATCTGTATAATATTCAGTACATGGTGAAATGGAAAGTGAATACAGTGGAGGAGATGAACAAACATGTTAGGTGGATGAGGTCGCTACACGATTACATGACTCCTTACGTTTCAAAATCACCGAGAGGAGCTTACTTGAATTACAGAGATCTTGATTTAGGCGCGACCAAAGGGACCAACACGAGTTTTGAAGATGCGAGGAAATGGGGAGAGACGTACTTCAAAGGTAATTTCAAAAGATTAGGGTTGGTTAAAGGGAAGATTGATCCAACAAATTTCTTCAGGAACGAACAGAGTATTCCTCCTCTGTTTTGATCTCACTAAACACAAAACCATATTTCAAATATTTCATATTCATGTTTTATTTCTTTTATTATAGACAGTGTAAGTAAGTTTCTGCTACAAGTGTAAAAGTAGTGAATGTCTTTTATTCAAGTAGATACCTATGTACACAAAACGATTTCAAACAAACCAACAATGGTTGCACCAAAGACCGCACTGAATAAAACAAACCCATTTGATTTCATTTTTTTTATGAACCATCTGTAACTAGACCAAAAAGGATCAATTCTTAATAATGTATATGGTCAATAGTATTACACTATACAGTACTAGTAGTGGTTAAACCAGTCACTGAATCACCTGATGAAAGCAGTCTATTTAGTGCTTTGTTTTAGTTCTGTTTTATAATTGAATTTTTACGTTTGAGAGATCATACATGTAAATTTGTTATTTTTTGATGAAATGTGAAATTATTTGATGATCATACACATATTTTGTGAATGAGTTTGAGCTATTATGCATGGTATGCGTTTTGTTTTGTTTTTATACTTCCAACTCCATATAAACAGAATTTGCTTTGAACTTTGAAAATATATACTACGTTACATCTTTTATATAGTATATAGTATAGTCCAGCTACTCTTTATGTAAGTAAACACTAAAATTGTTTTTTATTTTGGTTCGAGAGTGGAAAGAACAAAAAAAAGTAATTTTTAAAAAGAAGTCTGGCGTTGGTGTCGGCTGAGCACAGAGCTGGCTTTGGTTTTTTCTCTTTCTCTTACTCTCTCTAAGTTATCTTTTTGGTCTTGAGATTTCCATCAAACCCTTTTTGGCAACAATCTTTGGTTTGACTTCTCTATACAGACGTGAAAGAAGAGAGCAACTAAAACCCATGTCTGGTTTGTATAATAACTCTTCTTACTTGTCTCCTGCTCAAGCTGCTTCTTCTCAGATTAGAAGCACTCCTGAGAATGAGATCGATAGGTTTGTCCAAATATCTGATTCTTTTTTTTTACTGGTTTTACGTGAAAACCGATCTGTGTTCTGTTTCTTTATTCGAACAGCTCTCAGTACTTGAGGGAGCTTCTCGCCGAACATCAAAGGCTTATACCTTTTATGCAGGTCCTTCCCATATGTAGCCGTCTGTTGAATCAAGGTTCGTTCTTTTGATTTTGATTCTGATTCAGATCTAAAATTTTAGAAGCCAATTATCTTACAAAATGTTACAATTTATATAGTTCAATAGTTTAAGAGAATGAGATCAAGTTCATGGATTTGGTTTCTTCAAGCTAGGCTTAGTGTCACTTGTCTTGTGTTGTGGTCCTTATAAAGCTTTATTGATCGACAGAGATCTTCAGGGTTTCTGGAATGATGTCTAACCAAGGATTTGGTGATTCTGATGAATTCACAAACTATTCTCCTCCGACAAGAGAAGAGTTTCAAAGTTGTTGCTTGTCGACAAGTCACTGTGATTCAACCTCCCAAAACCCTATAAATCTTACCACACACACGCCAGATTCCCGAACCTACACCAACTTTCCCGAATCTTCATCTCCTGATTCAAGTTTCATCAACATGAATTTCGCAAGCCTGAAGCCGATTCTGATCGTTAAACCAAAATCCGAATCAGAAATCAAAAACGCAATTCTATGCAGCAGGAAACTTGGAGTGCAAGTAAGAACCATGAGTGGTGGTCATGACTACGAAGGTCTATCTTACCTCGCACAATCACCTTTCATTATCATCGACCTCGTTAACCTCAGATCGATCAAGATCAACCTTACAGACGAAACCGCTTGGATCCAATCAGGGGCAACACTCGGCGAACTTTATTACGAAATCGCCAAAACCAGCAAGGTCCATGCCTTTGCCGCAGGAGTATGTCCAAGTGTTGGAGTTGGTGGGCATATTAGCGGCGGAGGATTCGGTACAATCATGAGAAAACACGGTTTAGCGTCTGATAATGTTGTAGACGCGCGTTTGATGGATGTGAACGGCAGAATTCTTGACCGGAAAACAATGGGAGAGGATTTGTTTTGGGCGCTTAGAGGAGGTGGAGCCGCGAGTTTTGGTGTTGTCTTGTCATGGAAGGTTAAGCTTGCTAGGGTTCCTGAAAAGGTAACTTGTTTCATAAGTCAGCATCCGATGGGACCTAGCATGAACAAACTTGTTCATAGATGGCAATCCATAGGATCAGAGCTAGACGAAGATTTATTCATCAGAGTCATTATTGATAACAGTCAAGAAGGTAATCAAAGAACTGTGAAAACAACATTTCAAACTCTGTTTCTTGGTGGGATAGATAGACTGATCCCTCTGATGAACCAGAAGTTTCCGGAACTCGGTCTAAGATCTCAAGACTGCAAGGAAATGAGTTGGATCGAATCAATAATGTTCTTCAACTGGAGATCAGGACAGCCGCTAGAGATCATGCTCAACAGAGACCTACGATTCGAAGATACTTATTTCAAAGCAAAGTCAGATTTTGTTCAAACCCCTGTTCCTGAAAACGTTTTCGAAGAAGTAACCAAGAGGTTTCTTGAGAAAGAAACTCCACTGATGATCTTAGAGCCACTGGGTGGAAAGATCAACGAGATTTCAGAAACAGCGTCTCCCTACCCACACAGGAGAGGGAATCTGTATAATATTCAGTACATGGTGAAATGGAAAGTTAATGAAATCGAGGAGATGAACAAACATGTTAGGTGGATGAGATCGCTACACGATTACATGACTCCTTACGTTTCAAAATCCCCGAGAGGAGCTTACTTGAATTACAGAGATCTTGATTTAGGCACGACCGAAGGGACCAACACGAGTTTTGAAGATGCGAGGAAATGGGGAGAGACGTACTTCAAAGGTAATTTCAAAAGATTAGGGTTGGTTAAAGGGAAGATTGATCCAACAAATTTCTTCAAGAACGAACAGAGTATTCCTCCTCTGTTTTGATACATCAACACAAAACCATATTTCAAAGATTTCATTTCATGATTTCTTTCTTATATTATGGATAGGCTTTCAAAATTAATATATAAATTGCTAAAACACCAAAGTATGATTGATATTAAACCAATAAGACTAGTAAAAAGTAAACTGAAAACCAGTTTAGGCACCACTACTAAATATGCTCATATATGGTGAATAGATCGTATACAGTAGTAGTTAAACAGTCATTGAATCACCTGATGAATCATCATACACAATATCAGTAAGTTTTTCGACACTCTGAAAATGGCAAACAGAAATTCGATTTAGCTCTTCTTTCCTGCGGCTTTAATACCGGGAAGTGTTCCAAAGACTTTGTCCCAGAGAGATGAAGTGATTCCATATCCTTTGTCCTGAATCCTAAAGTGATGATTCAGGTGGTATTTCTGTATTGATACCAAACCTCATCAGAATTTAGGGGAAGAAAAGTTTGAACAACACAAACGGAAATGTCAATGAAGATGGGTGTTCTTACCTTAAGATGTTTAAAGGTTGGTTCTTTAGGTTGACCATGGTGTAGATAGTAATGAGTAATATCATACATCACATAGCCGAACAATATGCCTCCAAGCAGAGCAGGTGCTGTAGCAGGAGTAGCTAAGAGATGGAGAAGCTTCCACAGCTAGCAACAGGAACAGAAGAAGGCTGATTAAAGTTTCCATATCGAAACAAAGAATAAATTATTAGACTGCAGATTTGGATCAAGCATAGGCACTTACTGGAACCAAGAGTATAGCTGTTGCGGTAGGAGGGAAAACAAGACGAAGGCCATCTTGTGGGTGCTTGTGATGGCATCCATGAAGAAGATAGTGTGCAGTGTTTGCCCTAACGGAAAAAAGTATATGAAAATGAAACAAAATCAGTTGTGCTGAAAGTGAGCTTTCTATGTTCATAATTCATGGATACTGAACTAACCAGTAACTTTTGGTTTGGATGTGAAAAAGGAAACGATGAAGCGTGTACTCGAGCAGTGTCCACGTGAGTACGCCAAAGGCAACTATTAAACCAATCTGGGGAAATGTAAGCCCCTTACTCGCCGATATTGAAAGAACGTAGCAAACAACTGGAAGCCAAATTGTTGGGATTGCCCACCAAACCGTACGAGTCAAGAACTGCTCAAATTTTCCAAAACAGGATTTAATCGAAACATAGAGGACAACATATAAGAAGATAAATCTTTAAGAAAAAAAAAAGAAGAGTTGATACCTCCCAAAAATCACTTTCGAAAAAACGAGGACCCTCTACACATACAATAGGTTGATGAATCCATTCCTGATATTCTTCGCCAAGATGACCAACCTGACAAGAAAATAAGTTTCTTTTTATTAGTAAAATTGATGCATTGCATATAGCAAAGAATCTACCAAACATCTCTGAAGATCTGACAGAAAATTCGCCATTTGTTACTTTCTCTTGTCGATATAATATGATAAAAAAGGTTACACCGAAAAAAAGTGATTGAGAGCATTACCTGAAAGACAAGTGGCTTATTCAAATCGACTGTGAAGCGTTCTGCAACCATCTTTGCCACTATATGAGACTGATTGCTTCTGCAAAAAGAGCCACAAGCAAAAATCGTAAATGCCTAAGTATCTACAAAGAATTACAAGTTTTTGTTCCAGGATTCAAAACATTGCAGTATTGTTAAGAACAAACATCTCAAATGAACAATATCATCAAAGGTAAACCAAAATCCAGATTAACATATAGCATAAACCTGTTAATTAACTATTGCCAAAAAATTAGATTTAAGGCTCAAACCAGGTGCAATGCCTCATCCAAACTGAAAAGATCAACCTCAAACAAAAAATTCACAGAAACTTTATTGCTTTATGGCCATCTAAAATAAAGAAATGACTGCATTGGCATCTGAGTATTTGGTTAAGCTCAATTAGAGAAAGGAACACAAACAAAAGAAGAATCTAATCATCATTACCTTAAAGACAGAGCCAATAAACAAAGAGAACCACAGACAATGTAGATAAAGGACAAAACTTTGAGAAGAACTGAATCGAATCAAATCAAGAAGATGAGATTTCCTCAGGAGATCACAAGGAAAACCAAAGAAAAACCATCAAACTCCAAAACGAGAGATAAAGAAACCTATATGGAGAAAAAGACCAACATTCTTGGAAATTGACGAACAAAATCCCGAAATTTTCGCAGTGAAGTTTAAAGGGTGGCAGAGACAATCTAAATCGAGGAAGAGAGATTAATGGGAAAAGAGAAGAAATCGGAAGAAAGAGAGATGAGAATGCGAAGAAGAAGAGATCTGAGGCTTTTATTATTATTACCTTTGGAGGAGAAGAAAGAAGAAGCCTCTCTGTCGTCTCTATCAGCGTAAGAGACTCGCTAAGTCTCTCTAATTGAAGGGGAAGACAACAAATACAAAAACACTCTGTCACCACAAGGGTGGGATTATGCTTCGCTTGAATCCTGCTATTGTTCGGCCCACGTTTTCTATCTTTTCTGTTTTGTTTTTTTCTTTGGCCATTAAAATTATGTTTGCTATACCTATTTGTATAAAATATCTTTTTTTATTTCCTATTTTAGAAAAGAATAAAATTTGAAAATTTTAAATAGTTTTTGTAAGAAAAAAAGGAAAAGTATTTTCTAAATTTATAATTTGTTTTAGAAAACACCTTATCATGTATATAGAAATAAATCGTTTTTGTAAGAAAAAGGAAAAGTATTTTCTAAATCTATTTATTATTGTCTCTAGAAAACGCGGGAGGAAAAATATATTATTTATAGAGAAAAATATAAATTATTTAGTTACATACTATATAAAAAAAAATAAGTTTAAACTGTGAATTACATTTTTTTCTTCTAATTTTGGGAAAGGCTCTTTTCAGCACAAATTACAGAGTCGCTTTTAGATTTGGAAATGAAAAAATAAAACAAAAAAAATATGTGGCTAGCCAACATTGATCGATCATAGGGTTGGTCGGTCCATTGATAAGTATAATGTTTCGTGAAGTTATCTCTTGTCACTTGTGACAAATTTTGGAGATAGGTTTCTCTTCTCAATGGACTATGGTCTATGGCTCTATATGAGTCTATGACTACTACTACTATCTATGAATGAGCCTATGAGTAAAGGTGTTAGCGCAAGTATAGCACCTACAGTTTTTCTTATGATAAGTCATGAGTTAATAGGAACGCATTCACTAATTAGTTAACAAAGACTAGATCAAGATGAATAAATTAAGTAGATGATTTACTTACTCGTGACTAAGTTTAGAGAAAGGTTCTTCTTCTATATGGACTATGTATGAGTCTTTGAGACTGTGACTCTATCTATGAGCGGGCCTATGAGTAAAGGTTTTCAGCTCAAGTATAGTACCTACAGTTTTTTTATTATTATGGTAAGTCATGGATTATAATATGATATGGACGCATTGGCTAATTGTAAACAAATCAAGATGAATAAATTATGTAGATGATTCTGTTAATGGCCTCTACGGCTCTGCCTGTACACGTTGCTACACTAGGAGATCTACAGAAATTGCATATTTTACATATATGATGATTCTGCATAAACAAATAATGTAAACGAGAGAGATAGATATGAAGACTTATGGTGAAGATATGTTAGGATAATGGAGAGTTGAAAGGGCAGTAAACTAGAAAGTGAAGATCCTTATCTTGACCTTGACCTATGATAACCTTTTTTGTTGTTGCTGGACAGAGTAAATGTCTACTTAGACGTGTTTGGTGTAGTTATACTAATTATTGAACCGGTTGATAATTTCTAAACCGGTTGATTACATAACATTTGTAAAGTTGAAAAATAACAAATTGAAAGGTGGTTTTTGCTGAATGCTGCTCAATAAATTACATCATAAAAAAGTGCTCAATGGATCTTAATGTGATTTGGATGTGATGTGATGTGTTGTTTTTTTCAACAAATATATTATATCGACACATACACACATTTTAGAATTAGACCTTTTACATCTGTTGGGAATCACCAACAACCCAACTAGCAAGTCTTTTGTATATATAAAAATCAATAGACATGACCAAAAAAAAAACCTTAATGGTATGCATGACATAGCATTAGCAACGAGGCTTTCCTCTATATATAATTAATAGTATACATAATGCACCTTCAAAGTTTCATCAAGATTGAGGTATCACTCAATGCAACTCCTTCATACACAACATAATTTATTTAACAAAAGGACTTTGTGTTTTGTTTATTTCTTCATGGAATATGCAGTCTTCTTAATATAAGGTCCAAATTTCTTGTTCTATAACTCAATCATGTTTAGTTTATTAGATGTCTTGATCTTCTTTCTCGTATTCTTTAATTCGCAAGAAGATAGTATTTAGAATCCGAATTCATAAAGAAACATGAAAAAGTTTAACAAATGCTTCTAAACATGTGATGCCTCTCAATTGTACCACCTAAAAAATTAGTACTATCAATTTTCCTCTTTTTTTAAAAAGAGTTTCTTCTTTTAGAAGGATTGAATCCAATTCAAAAGAAAATGCTAAAGCCGCACTAATAATTTAGCGATGGACATAACCGAGACAATACGCCATTACCAAAATTCAAGACGATCTTGAAGGTATCAAATGTTTGTTTTATAGAATCGAATATATATTTTTATCTCTGAAACACGACACGACTAAGTAAATCCGGTCATGTCATCATGTGTCTCCGTCAATATCGCCACATTGCTAAAAAGTTTTTAGTGCTTTTTTTGGCCGACACAAACGTTATTGCTCTGCCTTGCTTTCGTTATCAACAATGACCATTTTTCTTCAATTTTATATATATAATTAAGAACTCAGTTTTTTTCTTCTTTGGACCATATCATATAATAATAACAATATATTCTCTTGTTAACAAGTTTTACAAACAAAACAAAAAAATTTACAGTTTCATAAGCAAACCAAATTGTTTATAGCTTCGAACTGCCCAACCACCCCACACAACAACAACCAACAACCAACACTCCCTTTCACCGTCCTTTTACCGCTCAGTAACTAACAGCGATCCGTAAGGCCCACCACTGCCACGGACATACAAAACAAAAACAAAACCCAAAGGTTGAATCTTTTTTTTTTTTTTTTGCTTCTCTGTTTTAGAGACTGGTTCGAGATTTGCAGGAGGAGCAGAAGACTCTGAGAATCAGACACCAGGATAGTGTCAGACCAATAGCAAAGACTTTCCCACTTAACAATCCAACAAGAACAATCACTATCAGACCAATCACTTTCGTTAGATCCCCTTTTGATCTCATCTCTTCTCCTTCTTCTTCACCAATCTCTGCACAGCTCTCTAACAATGGCGGATTCGAACTTAATAAATCGTCTCTCTCAGAGATCTCACTCTCGACTCTCTCCTCTGAATACAAGCTAGACACTTCTGTCGTAGACCCTTCTTCTTCAGCCTCAACCTCGACTTCTTCTTCTTTTTCTTTCATCTTCATCTTCTTCTTCTTCTTATAACTCCTTAACTTCTTTGGCACGATCTTCTTCACAATCTTTGATTTAAGCTTCGCGCTTTTACTCTTCTCAGTTTTAAACACCACATCCCTTATCGTCTGCATTTCCTTCTTCTCCTCTTCAGCTACAGGTTTCTTCGTCTTCTCTAATGTTAACGAATTCGAATCCAATCTCTTCTCCGGTTGAGGAACAACAACTCTACTCTCCTCTCTAGGCTCTTCGATTATTTCAAATGAGACCTTTCTTCTTCTGTCATGCGTCGATGTGGACTCTTCTTCTTTTTCTTCTGGCTTCTCTTTATGTCGCTTCCCTATGAGCTTCTCGATCAACGAATCAACACGAATCTGCGCGTCGGGGCAGAGGTTTAAGAGCGTGAAGAGACGCGCCACCGCGAGCTCGAGGAAGAGAAGGGCGAAAGCAGAGAGAGTTATCCCCACGGCGAGCTTCTTCGTGCTCAAGGCTAGAACAGCCACCATAAAAACCTTAAACACCACCACCATTAATACACAACACCCTCCTCCTCCGCCGCGATTAACGCAGTTTCCTCCACCGGCAAGTCTATCCACGGGAGTCTCCTCGAGCTTACTCACCAAAGGAGGATCCTCTGAAACCAAAGCTTGATCAAGCTTGACAGGAAGAGACATACGCCGCTGCAAAGACAGAGAAGGAGGAGGAGGAGGAGGCGGAGACGAAGCACGCCGTCGTGGCGGAGCGGTTTGAGCCGTCTGAGACTTGTTAACACGTTTAGAAGATTGTTTTTTGAGACGATCGCGATTCTTGACGAAGAGATCGATCAAAGAAGTAGGGAAACCAGTTTCAACAACGAGAGATCCACCATGTTTAGGAGATTGTTGAAGGTCTGATACGAATCTAGAGATCCGACTCGATTTAGATTTCTTCCAAGGTAAAGGCATGTTTAGAAGAAAGAAAAAAAAGGAAAGAGCTTTAAGATTGTTAATATAGATTTGATGATGATCACCTCTCCGAAGAACCCAGAAGAAAGGGTTTGTCGAAGAGATAGAGAAGAAGATCTGGTTCCAATATCAAAACCATTAATTATTTGACATTTTTGAGTTTTAGAGAGAAGAGGTAATAATAAAAGCTCCTTTCCTTCTTCTTCTTCTTCTTCCTTGTTTCCGCAGAAAGTGATAGAGAGAGAGAGATATGATGATGAGGGAAACCGCTTAAAAGACATTAACAGGACGACGCGTGCCTTAACCAATTATTTTATTACTTTTCCTCTTCTTTTTTTTTCTATTCAAAATTGTTAGTTTTCCATTTTTGTTAATTATGTACAACTGTACTATCCAGATTTTAAGATTCAAACACTTTTTACTTAACCCAATTTAAAAAACCGAACCAAATTACCAATAATTGTACGTTTTAACATTTAAAACCGAAATTATTAGAACTAATTTATAATCGAGTCAAAGATGAACTGATCAATTTATTTTATTCGATATCGCACTTTAATGGAGTTAAAACTAATTTATTCAGCTTAATTTTCGCAAATATGTTAAATTCATTTTTGCTCAACTAGTAACCCAAACCAAACTTAAGTTACATTAAACCGGACCACAAAACTTCCAAAGTCCAAACCATAGTTTTGACCTTCTTGTTCAGTTATATTTTTGTAAACTAACAAATTAAAATAGCTCGAAGTTAACACAAACTAAAAAAACCGAAATATTTATCTACCGGCATGGTTTGAATTTTGGTTACAGCTATTTTTAAGATTCTTACGTTTTCTCGTAATTTTCTAAAGATAATTTTCTTCTGTATTATAGTTAAACCAATCAACAAACACATTTATCTCTAGTTTCTATTGTCAGCTAATCTAATTAATACAATGATTTGCTTAATAAGTAAATTTGCCTATTAATGGTGTAAAATCATTAATCAACTTACTAAATTAGTTTTTAAAAAACACCAACAAAAAGGAAAAACCACTAATGATGCAAATTCGAATCTTTTAGTCTTCAATTTCAATATCCTAAGAAGAAAAAGGATCAAATCTGAAAATATTTAACAAATATAAAAAGTATAGAAAAATAATTTGCCTTTATATCTTTTCATAGCGATTTATTATAATTTAAACAAAAAAATATCTAAGGAAAGATATTTTGTTTCTGATTCGCTGTCATTACAGCACATAAAGAAACCAAATCGAAAACTATCACGGTATTATTAGCAAAGCAAGAAAACTTTGAGGACTAAAGTGAAAAGTTTTTAAGAAACCTGAGGAAAAAGGACGTAAACTATATATAGCCGATTACTACTCTTTTGTTTTTTTATACCCCTCGATCAAAACAAAAAACAAACAGAGAGAGGTGGGAGTCGCCAAATTTTCTCACCATCATTTTCTCGAGAAAATTCACACTAAAGCGATTCCCGAGAAAAAAAACATCAGGTGAAAATGAGAGAGATCCTTCATATTCAAGGTGGTCAGTGCGGAAACCAGATCGGTGCTAAGTTCTGGGAGGTTATTTGCGGCGAGCACGGTATCGATCACACCGGTCAGTACTGTGGCGATTCAGATCTACAGCTCGAGAGGATCAATGTCTATTATAACGAAGCTAGCGGAGGCAAATACGTTCCTCGCGCTGTTCTTATGGATCTGGAGCCTGGAACCATGGATTCCCTCAGATCCGGTCCGTTTGGTCAGATTTTCCGGCCTGATAACTTCGTGTTTGGCCAGTCTGGTGCTGGGAATAACTGGGCGAAAGGTCACTACACGGAAGGCGCTGAGTTGATTGATTCCGTGCTCGATGTTGTAAGGAAGGAAGCTGAGAACTGTGATTGTCTTCAAGGTGAGATAATACGCATTTCGTTTTCTTAAACCTATTTTGTTCTGTTTGGATTTATCTTTTCATTCGAATCTAGATCTGTGGTTAGAAAATGTGATTTTGTTTGAACCATCGGAGACCTCGTAGATGTGTATTGTTTCTGAAATTTGTTAGTATACGTGAAACCTGGGTTGATAACTTGCTTATGATGATTTGTTTAGTGTTTGATGCTCTTGATTAGATTCATGATAAGCCGTTATCTGATCGTGTGATTTGTATATTGAACAGGTTTTCAAGTTTGTCATTCTTTGGGAGGAGGAACTGGTTCTGGCATGGGAACACTTCTTATTTCTAAGATAAGAGAGGAATATCCTGATCGTATGATGATGACCTTTTCGGTGTTCCCTTCTCCTAAGGTTTCTGATACCGTTGTTGAGCCATACAATGCTACACTCTCTGTGCACCAGCTTGTTGAGAATGCTGACGAATGTATGGTTTTGGATAACGAAGCTCTCTACGATATCTGCTTCCGCACCTTGAAGCTATCTAATCCTACCTGTGAGTATTTTTAAAAACCCCATTTCTCCTCTTGTTGTGGAATAATCATATGATTGTAGTTTTGAAACCCTGACATTGTTCTTCTTTCTTATGTGGTGGTACCTTAGTTGGTGATCTTAACCACCTCATCTCAGCTACCATGAGTGGTGTCACATGCTGTCTTCGGTTCCCTGGTCAACTAAACTCTGACCTTAGAAAGCTCGCTGTGAACCTTATCCCTTTCCCACGACTCCATTTCTTCATGGTTGGTTTTGCACCATTGACATCCAGAGGATCACAGCAATACAGTGCCTTGAGTGTCCCTGAACTAACTCAACAGATGTGGGATGCCAAAAACATGATGTGTGCAGCTGATCCCCGTCATGGCCGTTACTTGACAGCTTCCGCTTTGTTCCGTGGAAAGATGAGCACTAAAGAGGTTGATGAGCAGATGATGAATGTCCAGAACAAAAACTCATCATACTTTGTTGAATGGATCCCAAACAACGTGAAATCGAGCGTCTGCGATATCGCCCCCACGGGTTTGAAAATGGCATCAACTTTCATTGGAAACTCAACTTCAATCCAAGAAATGTTCAGGCGTGTGAGTGAACAGTTTACTGCCATGTTCAGGAGAAAGGCTTTCCTTCATTGGTACACAGGAGAAGGAATGGACGAGATGGAATTCACTGAGGCTGAGAGTAACATGAACGATCTTGTTGCAGAGTATCAGCAATATCAGGATGCTACAGTCGGTGAAGAAGAGTACGAGGAGGACGAAGAAGAAGAAGAAGAAGCTTAAGATTACTACTCTTGTATGGCTTCAGACACAAGCTGTAACTTCGTCGCACTCTTTTCTTTTCTCTCCTTTTCTGAATTGAATTGTCTCTTTTTGTGCCTGGTGTGTTTTGTTATTGAATTTCCAAAAACTAAGATTTGTTCGAGAGTGTAATCCCATTTACCTATGCTTTTTTATATTGTCTATGAAAATATTTCAATGTCAAAAACATTTACAATTTCTATGATCCAAAACTTGATCAATGGTACAATTAGATCCTATATCTTGGCGGTTTCATGCTCTGCCTGCAATCTTTCTTCTTCATCTTCTTCCTCTTCAGCAATATCTGCCCAGCTTTTCTTAGATTCATTCTTTGGACCGTCTGCAGTATCTTTGATGTATTCATGAAGATATTGAATCATGTTCTGGTTCAGTTTCTTTCGCTTCATGGGTTCTTCTCCTCCTCCCTTTAAGATATTATAATGCGCAGAACCAAAAGGTTTTGGATTCTTAAACAGGAGCTTTCGAGCTGCACCTCTCTTTTCTTCTTCATACATCCCTGCTCTACATTCACGTGGCTGTGTAAATAGACCTGCAGAGTTCTGTCCAAAAGACGCTGGAGAAGAAGAAACATGCGAGTAGTAGTTCTTGTTTGCGATTCCCGGGTCTCTGTTTTCTTTCATTCCATTTGCAAATGAACATCCTGCGTAGAACTCCTCTGAAAGATCAGCTTCTGGATTCTTTGATTCTATTTCTGATAAAATCTCAACTGCTCGCTCATAAGACTTAGCAAATGGTTCATCTCCACATTCAATCTCTGCAGACGAATCTCTAACATCATTAAGAAGAGATTTAGCTTCAGGGATTCGACCCATACGCATCAAACAGATTGCGAGGTTGCACAGTTTGTTTTTGTCCTTTTCTAAATACAAAGCTCTCCTGTTCCACAGATAAATTGCATGTAATGAAGACTCGCAAAACCAAACAGTAATCAATTTCCAAATTTTGGTAACAAAAACCAAACCTGTAATGCTGCTCTGCAATCCCATAGTTATGTAACTGTAAATGAACCCATCCCAAGTTCCCTAGTATCCTAAAATGTTCAAACAACAGTGGAAAACGTCAGTTCAAGAGACATTAAAACCTCATCAAGATAACATGCGAATAGATCCAAAGCTTCACACCTTGCTTTCTCTTGCTCAATAGTCATTGTAACATGTTTCCCTTGAACCCTTTTGGCTCTCACGACTGGACCACCAAATCCCATTCTTTGCTCGAGTGTTTTCAGCTTGTGCTCAAGTAATCCAGCTTCTTCTTCAATCCTGCCTGACTTCTGTAAAAACACAAAACCACCATTTCCAAGTTTTAACAGTGAGATAACATCCAAAACACTCACAACACCTGCTGCGAAAGAGAAGATGGGGTGTGGTGTTCATCCCCATTACCTTGAAGAGTTCGAGGAGCAAGTTATCAATGGCGTCTTGAGACTCAAAAGAACAGAGATACCTAAAGGATTTGATGGCTTCAATTGCTTCATCAGATCGGTCCAACTGTTTCATCACCGCTGCCATGTCCTTCAATGCACTATCAACTCGATCTCCAGCGTTTATTGCAGCCCAAAACAATGCTATAGCTCGATTCGGATCTTTAGATATCAACTGTTCTTCCAATAACATCCATATGTTAGAAAACACAATCATAATCATTTTATAGACAGATTCGAGAAGATCACTGCAAATTTTTGAGTTTAAAGATTGGTTTCAGTGATAAAATGTAAAAGCTTGTAAGAGAAATCTTCAGACGAGGAGACGAATTAAGAAACCCTAAATTAGGGGAATAAAGAAAAGTTTCCTTTCTTGCTTTCGCGGGAAAATTCATTATACCTGCGCATGTTTGGCTCTGACGTAAGGAGAATCACCAGAAGGAACCTTGTGAACAATGTGAAAGGGATCACGTTTCTCCGACGACGACGAACAAGTATACGGTGGTATCCTCCTCTCCGACATCGGCACCGCCGCAACATAATCTCGTGTTCTCGCCGGCGGTGGAGTGTAGTAAACCCCAGGTGGAGCACGACGTTCTGAGAGAGGACACATTTTCTTGGCGTTTCTCTTCAATTTCTCAGAGACAAATTCGAAAAAGATTGTCGCAAAATTCAAATCCTCAGAGATCAAGAACAACTCAAATGCTTGCTTATGCAGGAAAGAACCAGTGTCCAAGGATGTGAGAAAGTGATAATAATTACGAGGACTTGTATATAAATAAGCAAACTTTGACATAGGGGTAAAAAGGGTAATACGCATTCATCTAGACAAAATGATCTTTTGAAGCATAAAGGTTCAATTTTTTACGGTTAATCTGCAAAAGCTAAGACAAAAGAACTAAACAAGCTCTTGAGTTTTTAGGTGAATATATCACATCTCGCTTGCTCGTTGCTACTCTAATCAAGTAATCAGAGATTAGTCTTTTTTGTGTCCATCTTCCTTCTTCCATTCCCATATGACTTTATAAGGCTGCATTGAGCCTTCTGCAACATTCTCAATAGATGAAGCTTCCCTTCTAAAAACAGCTATCTGAGAAGCAAACCCCGGTTCTACATCACCAGACCCACCAACACCACTGAACTCTACGCTGTAGTTATGGAGTTTGGCGAGCTTAGATGCCCAGTTGTTAAACTGTTCTCTTGTCCACTCGAATTTGTGGTCGTGGTTCCTGAATTTCGGAAGCTGTGACTCGGTCTTGTCTTCTTCTTGTGTTTCTGGTGTGGACCGCTGGAGAATTGTGTTGAACTCGAAGTTTGGTGTTGAGACTATCAGGAGCTTGGGGCGAAACAAGCTTAGAACTATATCCCCAAGTTGACAGGCTTGATCTTCTTCCATGTGCTCAATAACCTAGAGATTTGGCAACAGATTATATGCAATGTCAAACAAGGCAGATTGCTTCTGATGAACATGCACAAGATTTGAAGGATTAGAAAGAAGATGACAGGAGAACCTCTAAGCAAGTGCCAATGTCAACGTCATGCAGCCTGGAGTCAAACTCAAGGATGGAACCATCATATAGTGTGGCAGCTTTGACATTGCAAGCTTCCTTGTTTAGTTTTATATGTAGCATCTGAAGTTGAAACACAAGATACACAAAAACATAAGAACATGACATCTACATGACATCTACCATTTCTTTTCGATATGCTGAGATTCATGAGTGGTGCAAATGCAGTTTTTTTAGTCTCATCTAGTTAATCCTACGAGCGGGAATATAAAACAGTAGTATATGATTTAGCATACCTTAGCAGCACGGGCAAGACCCTTTGGTGAAATGTCAACACCGATAATATTTTGAAGTGTAGTTGGATAGTCAAGTAGAGAGTCTAATAAACTTCCAGATCCACATCCAAAATCAACCTGTAAAGAGAATAGAGGTGTCATCTTACGATGGTCACAGATATATCAATTAGAACGACAAGAGACTGGAACAATTGAACGAGTTTTAAAAAGTCTTGAATTTAGAATCCCAATAAGCAGGAAGATATAGAGTTTTTAAGAGCTTACCAAAGTAGAAGCGGATGATTCTCTTATATATTTCAGTGCATATTCAACACGCTGTTTTGAAAGTGGAGGTTTGAAAAAAGCCGCCTCCATTCGTTCTTCTGATGGCCCTTTCACTCCCAACAAAAGTATATTGTAGTTTAAAGATGGACTTTCTGTGCACAAAAAGCAGAAGAATTTATCACTATCACATATAAATGTTCATGGAATCTCTTAACTTAGTCATAGATATAGCTCTAATTTGTGTTCATCCTCTATAATTTGAAAGAGAAATAAGAGATCGACAGATTCATCTAACTAGAACAGACACAGCAAAGGTGAATTGTTAATAATGATGTTACCTTCACCAGAATAATACAATACTCAACAACAGAAAGAATAGAGAAAATAAATTATACAGACTTTAAATCAATCCTAGATTTACCAGGAGACTTTAAGTGAGGTTCTTCCATAACTTTGCCTCTATTTCGTATTGGTCAGAACCAGAGCTTTGTAGTTTCTAGTACGACTAGACCTAAGTTCACTTGTGAAGGTGGTACAAATGTCAACAGTTGATAAAGACCCAATTTTTTCTTTCAACCAGAAAATCGTTTAAAGAAATTATCCTATAACCTGCAACAGGTAAACATTAGAAGCATTACCTGATAGGAGCGAGCGGATTCTCACAGTATCAGAAGCAGCAGCCAAAATCAAAGCTTCTGCAGCATCAGGGGGTGTCATACAAAAAGATTCATACTCACCCACAGTCATCTGAGTAACAGCTGATTCAATATGTGGATTCATGGATCCAGTCCCTACCTCAAACTCTATCTCTTCATTGCTTTCAATGAGATCTACTGAGTGTTCACAATTAGCCGAATATCCAGCATCCACCTCGGACTCCATCTCTTCATTGCTTTCAGTGTCATCTCTTGGAGATTCACCTTCACTAGAATATTCAGGATCCACTGACAAAGACAAAGAATAGCATATGCTAACCACAGAACCATTTGTTATAGATTCAACACGCTTCTCTACTGATGGTACATTTGTGGTTTTTGATTCAGAGCTGAGTCCATTTTGGAGAACTGGTGGGAGCGCAAAAACATTAGGAGTTGAAGATTTGATATCCTGGTCGTCATCAGTATCACAGGATTGCTCTCCATCCACATCCAGGTCACCGAAAAACTTACTAAACCATAGGAGGGCTTTCAATGAAGCATTTTGAATGGCATCATATTCTTTCTCATAGAATTTCATCGGAGAACATTCTAAAACCAAATCCTTAGTCTTTGTAAAAATTTTCACTTCACATCTAAACCCATGCCCTAATCCTGGTGTATCTTCTTTTTCTTTACTCAAATTCTCATTATCGGCATTGTCAACTCCGGAGACCTTCAGCTTCTTGTGAGATCTGAATATGTCAGACAATGATTTCCCAGGAGCATCAGATGAAGAAAAGACAGGTTCTGCTAGTCGGTGCTGGTGGCAGAACATGCAGAGAATCTCCCTAGGGAGTGGACCTCTCCAATTAGATTTTGTAGTGAATGAAGAGGGCAACTGTGCAGCAATTACTGCTTGTCGGGAAATTTTGTAGATTCCGTTGGGTGACATACCACAACATATCCTGCAGAAGCCACAAAGCTAATGCATTACTTCAAAGTGCAGGGTAAGATATGCAATGCTTCATCAAAAGGCTAAGACAAACATCAAATGCATTACTTCAGAGTTAGTAGACGTAAGTAATGCAATGTTCCCAAAATCCTTATTTTAAAAGAAGATGTCAAAAAGAAATTCAAGAGATAAAACTGAGCAAAAGCTGGTAGTAGAAAAGGGACCTGTAAAATGACTTTAAAGTTACATCATCATAGTCAAGATCATCGGACTTCCATCGGTAACCAACAGATGCCAAGATAGCATCGCCGTGAATATCTTGACCACAAATGTAACTTGCTCGTACATTCCGAGATTTTTCAACATGAGATGAGTCTTCTTTTGAACCTCCAGAGGCTTCTGATGAATGATCAGAGGACATCTTTGGAATAGCAGAGTACAATCTACACTCAGAACCACAGGAAGCTTTGCCAAAAGCCCTGTTGAAAAGCAAAAATACTTTCAAGTCAGATTAACACGAAGAATGCTCCACTTACTAATAGAAACAAAAACATATATATAATCACCTTGATATCATCACTTGGCTGCCATTTTTCAAACTGAGCCTTTCTGCGATACTATCCAAGTAATGCCGCTCTGATGAAATGTAAAGCGTATCTAGCTCAACAATCTCCTCACCAAGACATGGTATAAATACAGCCGCGACTTCTCTGCTAGGTAGGGTATCAGATACATGAGTAGCTAGTGCTTCTACAATTTCTGAAGGGTATGGATTTTTCCTTCGGAGAGAAGCTTCATGCGGAGATGCGACTATGTAGTCCGACAACTTTGCAGCAGCCTTCATGACATAGGAAATGACCAAGGAAGGATCTGATTCCACAGAAGGATTAATGATTTTACAACGACTGTTAATCTTTGCATCAAATGTAGCAATGACAGAAACAGGAACTGAGCCACAACAATCCCCATCCCTTCGCAATACCGCTCTAAGGTGAGCTCCCAGAGGGTGTTCAGCTGAAAGAAACTGCAATCGGTAATAAAAGATACATTTTGATCAACATTAATTCATAACATATCACATTGAAAAAAAATATAGAAATGAAAAATTTCTTTTGAGATACTAACCTCATCAGAAAATAAATACTTAATGCGTCCAACGATATCATCCCAAGCTTCATCTACAGTAAGATCATCATTCTGAGGACGAATGCCTAGCTGCAACATGAATGGTACTATCTTTGTTATCACAAGAGATACCACAATATGAAAAGAGAAAACACATATAACAACGCATACCTTCTCAAGAGCCAATTCAGCAGCAGATTGTTCAGAATCCTTCTTCTTCTTGAATACATTTGATACAACAGAGAAGTCTGGTAGCTGCAAGTGGCAGCGATAGAGACATGGACCTTTCTGAGGTATTGCCAAACCTGGACAGCCACTGTGAGAAGAATCATGAACTTCCTCAACTGTAAACCTTGCTTTAGGACCAAACTTTTGATGAATAATTGCCTTTGGAGTAGGAGTATGCTTCCCACTACTAGCCATCACAAACGCAATGTAGCTTCTTCAATACACTGAGAGAGACAAAGGGTCATACAAATATAAGCCAAAGATCAGGAAAGATGAAAAATAAATAAAAAGGTCCGAATCGAATCAACATCTCTATTTGAATTCCGGCATTCTCAGTGTTCTAATTTTAACCACTTGTCTGCATTTATCAGATTAGAGAATGATAAGTAAATTCTGAGTCTTGCCATGTCTTCGTTTCCGGAACAAAAATGGAAAAACCCAAATTATAAAACTAGAATCCATTACAGTGGTAGGTTTTATGCACATGCCATGGGAAAAACAGAGAGAAAAACACAAGAAATGAGCAAAGTAACGATTTTTCGTTCCGAGGAAGTACAGGTAGAAGATTTGGGTAAAAAAAAACACAACAAAATAAAAAAGGGTTTTTGAGTGTAACATTAAGACAAACGAATCGTCATGAACAGTTACGATGATCAATGAAATTGAATTTTATAAGGAGCCCAGAAATTTCAAAACGACTCAGACAAAACAAAAAGCACGAAGAATCAACAACGAACCTAAAGAGTTCAGCGGAATGTCATGTAAGAACTGAGGAGAGAGCAACAGAGAAGAAGAGAGTGAGAGAGAAAGAAAGGGGTTTTAGAGGGAGGAATGAGGGCGTTTTGGTCGTTTCCATATTGTAGAATCGTTTCCTTTTCTTTTCAACTTTTTATTTTATTCCATATCCACCATTCTCTTTTTCTAGAAGAACATAAATACCATTTATATGTGTTACTTGTAAGTTTGAGTATTGACAGTTTTATTTAGTACTCACGATTCTTGTGCTTTTTGAAAAACATAGATAGATAAGAATTGACGACAAAAAAAAAAGATAGATATTAAGAATCAATGACCATACACAAGAGTGTGACAAGGAAGAAACTTGTAGATTTCAAACATAAAAAAAGCAGCAAAAAAAGGAAAAAAGAGTTAAGTCTATTCAGGTTGATGATACACTTATCAAAGATTAAGTCTTTTTGTCTCCATTTCCACTTGTCCATTCCCATGCGACTTTATAAGGCTGCATCGAGCCTTCCGAGAACTTCCCAACAAGGTTAACCTCTTGTCGTCTAAAAACAGCAATCTGAGAAGCAAACCCGTGATTTACATTGCCAGACCCACCAACAGCGCTCAACTCGACGCTGTAGTTGTGGCTTTTGGCAAGCTTAGATGCCCACTGGTTAAACTGTTTCCTTGTCCATTCGAACTTGTGGTCATGGTTCCTGAATTTTGGCTGCTGTGATACGGATTTGTGACCAGGCATATGGAGAATTTTGTTGTACTCGTAGTTTGGTGTGGAAACAATCAGAAGTTTCGGGCAAAACAAGCTTAGAACTGTATTCCCAAATTGACAGGCTTGATCTACCTCCATGTGTTCAATGACCTACAGATTCGTAACAGATTATATGTAAAGTAAAAACCAGACTAACAAAAAGTCAGATTTTTGAAGAACATACTCTATATGTTTAAAAAATATTAAGAAAAGCTTGAGATGAAGTTATGATACAAGAAAAAATAGAAGGGGACCTCTAAGCAAGTGCCGACATCAATGTTATGCAGCCTGGAATCAAACTCAAGGATGGATCCATCATAGAGTATAGTAGATTTGAGGTTGCAAGCTCCCTTGTTTAATTTTAAATGTAGTATCTGAAATTGAAACAATATATGTACAAATATTTGATGTAAATCAACAGCTTTTTATTCAACCATCTCTTTCAGATGATATAAAATGCAACCATGTAGGATCTTCACATGTTACACAACTCATGACTCGCATAAATGCAGTTTTGATAAAAAACATATCAAGTTTAAGATGCATTAGTTTCATCAGGTTAAGTTTAGAAGTGGAGTACAATTATGTTGGTGAGTCTCAGATTTAGAATACCTTAGCAGCACGGGAAAGACCCTTCTGTGAAATGTCAACACCGACAATGGATTGAAGTGAAGTTGGATAGTCAAGTAAAGAGGCTAGTAAACTTCCAGATCCGCATCCAAAGTCAACCTGAAAGAAGTATAGAAACTGGAATATTATAAGGAGTCCTAAAAAAGAATCCGGAATCACAAGAAGCAGAAAGACAGTATGATAAAATGAGAAACAAGAAGAGCTACCAGAGTAGAAGCTGACGATTCTTTTATATGTTTCATTGCATATTCAATACGCTGTTTTGAAAGTGGAGGTTTGAAAAATGCCGCCTCCATTCGTTCTTCTGTCGGCTCTTTTACTCCCAACAAACGTACATTGTATTCCAAACCTACTGAGACTTCTGGTTGCAATTGTAACAAAACAAAACTTCTACAGTTAACAAAAATTTTCTTTTTCCCAACCTGAAAAAGCTTTAAGACTTTTTTATAAACATTAGAAGCGTTACCTGACAAGAGTGACTGAGTTCTCGCAGTATCAGGAGCAGCAGCCAAAAGCAAGCCTTCAGCAGGGCTATCAGTTACAAAACAAGCATATTGGCCTACAGACATTTGAGTAACAACTGATTCAAGATGTGGGTTCATAGATCCATTCCCGACCTCAAATTCAATCTCTTCATTTCTTTCGATGAGTTCTTTTAAACATTCACCATTCTCCGAAAAGTCAGCATCTACCTCCACGGACACAGAATAGCATATGCTAACCAAGGAACCATCTGTTATAGATTGAACACGCTTCCGTTCATGTTGCATACCCGTGGTCCTTGATTTAGACCTGGGCTGTTCATACATTCTACTACATGGAAAAGCCCCTTTTATTAAGACACTCCGTTGAAAGAGCATATCCAAGTCTAGATTCGAATAACATGGTTGATCTGGGTCCGCATCCAGGCCATCGAATAACTTATTAAACCATGAGAGGGCTTTCAATGAAGCATTTTGAATAGCATGATTTTCCTTCTCATAGAAGTCTCCTGGTGAACAATCTAAAACCAAATCCTGGGACTTTGAGAGAATTTTCACTTCACATCTATAACCAGTCCCTGATCTTGGTATCCTGAGTTTTTTCCTTCTCATATCCTCCCGTTCTGAGTCTTTCAACTTCTGGTAGGATCTTAATATTCCATCCAGTGGTTTCACAGGGGCAGTAGTTATAGTAAAAATGGGTTCTGCTAGATGTTGCTGGCGGCAGAACATGGAGAGAATCTCCCTGGGGAATGGACCTCTCCAGTTAGACTTTGTAGTGTATGAAAAAGGCAACTGCGCAGCAATTAGTACTTGTCGGGAGAATTTATAGATTCCATTAGGAGACATACTGCAATATATCCTACAGAAGCCAAAAACATAATAAATATGTAGTGCTTCAGCGGAAGACCAAAATATATACAAAAGAACGAGATACAAACATGAACAGAGCAAAAGTTGGTAGCAGTAGAGACCTGTAAAATGACTTCAAGGTTACATCATCGTGTTCAAGTTCATGGGACCTCCATGGGTAACCAACGGATGCCACGATTGCATCACCGTGAATATCTAGACCACTAACAAAACTAGCTTTTGCGTTCCGAGACTTTTCAAGATGTTGTGATTCATTGACTGGACGTTTTTCACGGGATTTCCATGAATTATCGGAAGACTTCAACTTAGGAAAGGCTGCGTATACTCTACACTTAAAACCATCAATAGTCCTGTTGAAAATCCAAAAAAGTTTTAATCAGATTAACAACACCGGAAAAGCTCCATTTATTGACAGAAAGGACAATTTAATCACCCTGATATCATCACTTGGCTGCCATCCTTCAACCCAAGCTTTTCAGCAATAATATCCAAATAATACCGACCTGATGAAATACCAAGAATGATTGGCTTAACAACCTCTTCACCGTCAACGGCACATTGTATATGCACAGCCTCAACCCTTCTGCTTTCTACTTGAGAAGCCAATGCTTTTATAATTGCTGGAGGGTATGGTTTTTTCCTCCGGAGTGAATCTAGATGTGGAGATACGACAATGTAGTCCGGAAGCTTTGCAGCAGCCTTCATGACATAGGACATGAGCAAGCTAGGATCTGAGTCCACAGAAGGATCAATCACTTTACAGCGACTGTTAATCTTTGTATCAAATGTAGCAATGACAGAAACAGGAACTGTTCCGCAACATTCACTATCCCTTTGCAATGCCGCCCTAAGGTGACCTCCCAGGGGATGATCAGCTGATAGAAACTGCAATGGCAACAACTTAAAACATTAATGCCAAAAAGATTAAGTTAGTTAGTTATCAAAATGGCAATTGCATAAAGAGAAATCCCAAATTGCTTTTAGACTGGTGATCAATCAATTGTCAAAAAGAGACTTTTCCAATATCGTCAATGAACTCACATTTACATCATGTGGAAATCTGAAATTGCATTCGACTTACTAAACTAACCTCATCAGAAAATATATACTTAATGCGTTCAACGATATCAACCCAAGCTTGCTCCACAGTTATATCATCATCATCCAGAGAGTGAATGCCTAGCTGCAACATGAATTGTATCGTCTTCTTTAGCATATAACAACATTAAGAAAACAAAGATACAAAATACAGGAGAGATGTATAACAAGGCATACCTTCTCGAGGGCCAATTCGGCAGCGGATTGTTCAGCATCCTTCTTTTTCTTGAAGACATTGGATACAACAGTAAAGTCCGGCAGCTGCAAGTGACATCGGTAGAGGCATCCATTCGAAGAAGCATGAACTTCCTCAATTCTGTAACTTGCTTTAACACCAAAATTGTTTTCTATAATACCCTTTGGAGTAAGAGTCTGCTTCTCCTCACCCGCCATTACAAACTCACTGTAGCTTCTCTAGACGCTGAGACAAAACAAAAGAACTAGAAATGAGTTATATAAACATTTCAAAGATGGTAACTTTGTGCAAACACTGCACGGAACCCGAAATGAAAAAAAACTAGGGTTTTTCTAAGAGAGATATCATAAGAAGATGACCTAAATTCCGGGGTTAGCTGGGGTTTCTTAGAGAAGAAGATCACTTAAATTCTCAGTCTCGTTGAGTCTTAAGTCCGCAACAACACACAAAAATGGCAAAGCCGAAGGAGAAAAACCGATAAATGAAGGGTCGAAACAAACTCAAATCAATAAAGTAGTAGGCTTTAGGGAGATGCCACAGAAAACAGAGAGATGAAACAGAGGCATATGAGTCAAAGCAAGGATTTTTCGCGCGAAGGGACCAAAATTGAGTTGAAGTAACGTTACGAGGACCGAATCGTCCACCGAAACGATGGGTCGACGAAACTGACTTTTACAAAGAACGCTTAAGTAACGATGGAAACAATAAGAGACGAAAAGCAAGCAAGTTAGAATCAAAGACGTACCTTTGGACAGTTTTGAGAGAAATGGCATTTGTACACAAACTAGTTTTGAGCGTACAGAGCAAGCTGGGGGTTTTTCAAATGTAGTGGTGGGATGAAGAAAGCCAAGGGTGTTCTGGTCATTACACTACACAAAATCTGTGTTTCCGTGATTTTTACCGGAGATTCTGCAAAAATGGTTTGGTTCTTCATTGACTTGTCGAGAGTCGAGACGATCGAAGCCACTGCAGATTATACAAGATCTTCAAGTTTTAGGAATATAGCCAAGAATGATTTGTATATCAAATTTCATACGAATACATATAAGGAAAATGATATATTTGTGGATCGGTTTAGCCAGTAACGCTGTTAAGGAAAAAATGTTATTATCAACGGTGACTGTTGTTTGAATACTTTAACTTTGAGCTCAATAACTTTGTTTAATCCTCTATAGAATGCTTTCAAGCTTTATTCTACACTGAGAGTAATGCCCCAAACTAATAACATTCAAATCGCTTATAAACATCATAACCGATCGAAGACTGATTTTTTCACATGGTCATTGTAAAATTCGCCTCAGACTTCATCTTTGCCACTGTAAAAGTGTCTGAAAACACAAGAGAAGTCCTTTGTCTCATGCCCTTCCTCGCACATCTTCTTGTAACTGCAAAAACAATAAAAATTCCAGCTTGATGAATATGTGTGCATTGGTTCATAAAAGAGCTTTCAACTCAAGTTTCTAAATTGTTTCCATGAATTTCACAAGCCTTCTGTGTTCACACCAAGTCATCTTTCAAGGAAAAAACTTCTAGAAGAAAAGACTAGTGAAGTACTCACATTTCTTGTGCTTTGGATATCAATGGGCTTTTGTGTCCAACTTCTTCAGCAGAAGCTGCTGCGAGGTTTAGGTCTTTAGCCTGCATTTTGAATACACAATATCTATGAAAGACTTTTGTAACAAAAGAAATGTGCTTTACAGACATTTTAGGATCAACGATATAGACAGATGTTAAGAAACTGACCATAAGTTTGGAGGCAAAACCGCCATTGTAATCTCTTGAAGAGGGCACACCTTTCATTACTCCTGGAACTGGATTATATGCGTCGCTGCGGTTTTAGGAATATAATGAAGTTAAGAACTGGAATGTATGCTTAGATATAAGGCATTTATAAATTTCAAGAGGTAATTTTACTTACATACCTACTCCAACATCGGCCACTAGATGTGTTTAACACTTCTGTTAAAGTGCTGGCAGATATTCCAAGAGACTGACCCAGAGCTAAGGCTTCTGAAGTGCCGAGCATACTCACAGCCATAGCCAAATTGTTACAAATCTTTGCAGCCTAAGTTTTTTAAAAAAACATGTCGTTTCTCAGTCTACATAAAAAAAAATACTTAAGAACTGTAGAAACAACAATACCAAAGCTTAAGATAAGAAGTACTGTAACAAAAAAAGTTACGAAAACATGATATAACAGTGGAACTTACAGCTCCATTTCCTGAACCACCACAGTAGATGGATGTTCTACCCATTGACTGAAGTATTGGTCTAACGGCTAAGTAAGCATCTTCAGGACCTCCAACCTACAAAACATGCAAACGCCATTGTGATCTTATTCGTAATGTGCCACTGCCAATTATACATCCATGTAATGAGCATCGACATAGAGCATGTGATTCAACTAATGGAGATGAATAAGAGGATCAAACTCAAAATCATACCATAAAAGTAAGTGTACCAGCTTCTGCAGCGAGAACACCTCCAGAGACAGGAGCATCCAGCATGACAGGCTTTACCCAATTATCTGCATCATAGATGCTTGAAAGTTGAAACTATTTAAATGAAACAATCTCAGACTTGTTCACAGAATAACAATATGATCCTGTTGTTTAACTCCTACATCCAGCAAGATCTAAAGATTCCCACTTTGAATTGGAATACAGCAAGTACATACAATCAACTAAAAAGGGTACAGAATCATGGAGAGGGCTGACTTGAGAAAAACTGTATTGTAAACAGATTAAACGCGTAGCTGTTCATGGATTACCACTAAACAAGTTACTCATAGTTAAATCATAAGAATCAAACTTCCTTTCAAATACTATCTATGCTTTACCTCTCTTTTCTTTCAAATTACAATTAGAAACAGCAAGCGAGATTTTTCGAGTTGTTTGTGGATCAATAGTGGATGAATCTATAAACAAAGCAGGTCTGATAGCATTTTCTCCAAGAAGCAACCCGTTTGTTCCTGTGTACACATCCATCACCTACACGAATTACAAAAAAAAAAATTCTTCGTTAAAAATTCCAACCAAGAGAAAACAATTCTGATGAGATACATTCTTTCAAGTTTCAACCATTTAATGCATCCCTAGTCAGGTGGTAAACAACTCTACAATCTCTTATACTAGTGATTTCCCAGTAATGCATCTAATCATACAATGAACAGGAAGATCTTAGAATTGTTGTCTTATAAAAACTCTTCCTTAAAAGTAAGAAGATAACTCACGTGAGATGACGAAGGCAACATTGTAATGACAACTTGGCAATCTTGAGCAACTTCAAAAGGAGTTTCTCTAGCAGAGACTCCCATTTCAGTGAACATCTTCACAACATCACGGTTTCTGTGAAATCAAACTCAAATATATGAGCAGCAAGCTGAAAATATAAAACTTGATAAGGAGCATAATGGCACTGAAGGGTATTTACATGTCATGAACGGTAACTTTATATCCAGCTTTAACTAGATTATTCACCATCCTAGATCCCATATTTCCAAGCCCTATGAAACCAACATTCTGACAAAACAGCAAAAAAAAAAAAAAAGAGATTTCATTTACATAAATTTCGAATGTTGAGACAAATTTTGCTGCTAACAAATCTTATCCAGACAACATTTTTGATGAATTAATGAATAATACATAAGCAATCAAGAACTTAAATTCAATTTAGCACCCTCGTAAACAATGTTCGAGATTATTACAAAAGTGAAGATCTTATAACTTCCACCCAACTACTACCTTAAAAGATCATGTTTTTTGGAACGTAAAAGAGATAATATTATCCCCGATCATCAAAGAAAAGTTTAAAAACCAGAACCTGGAATTGAGTTGAATCATGAGCTGACGAAGAGAATCGGCGGAGACTTAAATAAGACCCAAACACGGAACTGGTTTTGAATTTGGAAAGACAAAGTAGAGACTGCGCTCTGCGAATCGCCATTGATGTATGAATGAATATCTTCAAACTTAAGGAAAAAAAAAGAAGAAGAGCTGCTGGAGTGAATCATGATCTCATCAAAACACTCTTGCGGTTTGATTTTTTTGAATTAAGACCCCTTGATTTTTAGTTTCTTCTGAAAATCGACTTTTACTTTTGAAATTATCAGGAAAACCCAAATAATTTGGATTGCTCTTGTCTCAGTTCCGGTCGTCCTTGTTGATTAGAGAGTCAACGTAGTCAGCATCTGTGGACCCAATTCTTCTCTACATTTTACTACTAATAAATGTTGGTTTTGACATAAATATTCATTATTCTTTTTTTTTTCATAAATTTGATTTAGTACTGTATTCATTACTTAAGAATCTGGATTATGCTGAAAAAGTTTCATGTTTTTCAATATTTTATTTATGATTGTTTTGTAATGCAATTTTTTCTAACCAAGATTTAATTCATGACTGCTGCACTCTCTGTCTGCTGCAAACCTCGGTTATTATTTTCCCAAGGTCGTCAAAGCTTGCTGTGTACGTAAATGACAGTGTTACCCTCACTAAAGAGACAAAGGACAAATAGAGACTCAAAACCATATTGTATAAAACTCTTTGGCGTCCACCATGTGGTCACTCACTCACTAAACTAAAAAAACATTAGTGTAAGTGTGACTTTTTGTTTTTTCAGTTTTTTTGGAATCCTTTTTTTTTTCCCGGGGCCATTCCTGGCGGGTGATAATAATCAAAATATTTTAATCTTCCATAGGCACTACTACCTGAAAAGACTATAAAAAAAAGTATAATTTTAAAAATATAATCATCTCTCGTAAACCAATAAAAAGTAATTCAGTTTCTTGTTTGTTTTTTAAATATTTAAATTTTAGGGTTTTTGATTTTGGTTGTGTGTTTCTCTTTTTTTGCAGTTTTACAAGCTTCAAAGACTTTACCCCTTTACAAGGTCCTTGTCGTTCGTCACTGTCGTAAGTGAAAACTATCAAATTTTCTCCTCTCTGTTTCTCTTTTTAATTTTTGTTTTGGCTTCATCCTTTTGTTTCTTAAACAGTGGCAATCTTTTAAGGCTTCTTTCTTTTTAAAAATTTTTTGAAGTGCCCCACCAAGATTTTTCTCAGTCTATACAGTGTTTGAGCTGAATCCAAAACCCCGTGCACTGCATGAGCTCATTTACAAAATGATTCTGCTTCAAAGTCTTTGTCTTCCTTCTTCTTCAACTCTGTCGACATTGTTCCTCCAGTGAAGTGAAGCTTTTTTCATCTCCGTAAGTTAAAAAAAAATCCAAACTTTTTCTCATTTTATCTCTTTGCTTTGGTGTTAGGTTTTAGATCTCGGAATGGGACCCAATATTGATTAGCCCCATTGTTCATTTAATGTTTTCTTTCTCCAGCGGATTCCCTTTGGTTCAAGATTGTTCCTTCTCACTCACTATCATCATCCTGCATTTTTTGTTTGATTTGGAGGGTTTCTTCAGAAGATTTGTTCATTCTAAGGTGAAGTTTCTTTAGCTTTTTTTTGTTTTTTCCTCATTGAAATGTTTGGTATTGTTGACTATTGCGGAAAGATTGAAACTTTTTTGGGTAACATTGATGGGTTTTGTCTTGGTTTCATTAAGTTTTCTGTCAGATTTGCTTGGGTTCCCATGAATGTTTAGCGTTGGTGAGCTGGAAAAGTTGTTGGGTTTCTGCAAAAACTGTAGCTTTGCTGGGAGGAATTAATTTGAAGTCAAGGATGAATCTATCTAGGATTTTGTTACTCTCCATGTTTTTCCTGTCTGCAATGGGGCAACTTCCATCACAGGACATCATGGCATTGCTTGAATTCAAGAAAGGGATTAAACATGACCCTACAGGGTTTGTCCTTAATTCATGGAACGATGAGTCTATTGACTTCAATGGTTGTCCTTCTTCCTGGAATGGTATTGTCTGTAATGGCGGTAATGTTGCTGGTGTTGTTTTGGATAATTTGGGCTTGACTGCTGATGCTGACTTCAGTCTTTTTTCCAACTTGACCAAGCTTGTCAAACTCTCTATGGCCAACAATTCCATTTCTGGTGGCTTGCCAAATAATTTAGCCAGTTTCAAGAGCCTCCAGTTCTTGGATTTATCTGATAACTTGTTCTCTTCCTCACTGCCAAAAGAGATTGGCAGATCAGTAAGCTTGAGGAATCTTTCTTTAGCTGGTAACAACTTTTCTGGCGAGATTCCGGAATCTATCAGTGGTTTGATTTCTCTTCAGTCGCTGGATATGAGCCGCAACTCCTTATCTGGACCTTTGCCAAAGTCCTTGACAAGGCTGAACGATCTGTTGTACTTGAATCTGTCTTCTAATGGATTCACGGGGAAAGTCCCAAGGGGCTTTGAGTTACTTTCAAGTCTTGAAGTGCTTGATTGGCATGGAAACTCAATTGAGGGTAATCTTGACGGGGAGTTTTTCCTTTTAACGAATGCGAGCTATGTCGATATCAGTGGAAACAGATTGGTGACGACATCTGGGAAACTGTTACCTGGTGTTTCTGAGAGTATCAAGCATTTAAATCTCAGCCATAATCAGCTTGAAGGTTCATTGACTAGTGGGTTTCAGTTGTTTCAGAACATAAAAGTCTTGGATCTTAGCTACAACCTGTTATCTGGAGAGTTACCAGGTTTCAATTATGCTTATGATCTTCAAGTACTCAAGCTTAGCAACAACAGATTCTCAGGTGCCCTTCCTAATAATCTGTTAAAAGGTGACTCTTTGCTTTTAACAACGCTGGATTTAAGTGGCAACAATCTCTCAGGTATGCTCTTGGCTTTATCTTCTACAGAGTGGGAATTGTTATATGTCAAATGGTGGCACCAAAAAAAACTTGAAATCTAATTTTTTTTTTTCGGTTTTGTTTTTGTTTTCCAGGGGCAATAAGTTCTATCATGTCAACAACTCTTCAAACCCTTGATCTTTCTTCAAATTCATTGACCGGGGAGCTTCCTCTCTTGACTGGGAGCTGCATTTTACTTGATCTCTCAAACAACCAGTTTGAAGGAAATCTAACAAGATGGTCAAAATGGGAGAATATCGAGTACCTTGATCTCAGCCAGAACCTTTTCACTGGGCCGTTCCCAGATGTAACCCCCCAGCTTCTGCGAGCAAATCATCTCAATCTTTCCTACAATAAGCTCACAGGCTCACTTCCAGATCGAATTCCTACGCATTATCCGAAACTCCGGGTACTTGATATAAGTTCTAACAGCTTAGAAGGGCCAATCCCAAGTGCATTACTATCCATGCCCACTTTGGAGGAAATCCACCTTCAAAACAATGGCATGACAGGTAACATCGGGCCCCTGCCTTCTTCTGGTTCCAGAATCCGTCTTCTTGATCTTTCTCACAACCGGTTTGACGGGGATCTTCCTGGTGTATTCGGATCTTTAACCAATCTTCAAGTGCTGAATCTCGCAGCAAATAATTTGTCTGGCTCTTTGCCTAGCTCCATGAATGACATGGTCTCTCTAAACTCATTAGACGTATCCCAGAATCATTTCACTGGACCACTCCCAAGCAACTTATCTAGCAGCCTTATGGCCTTGAACGTCTCAAACAATGATCTATCAGGGACTGTGCCAGAGAATCTGAAGAACTTCCCTCCGCCTTCCTTTTATCCTGGAAACAGCAAGCTCTCCTTGCCTGCTGGATCTGCTGGTTCAAGTGCATCAGAATCTTCCAAGAAGAAATCCACTGTACTTGTTAAGGTTGTTATAATAGTTTCGTGCGTCGTTGCTATAATTATTCTCATCCTTGTGGCTATCCTCCTATTCTGCATCTGCAAATCAAGAAGACGTGAAGAGCGTAGTATCACAGGTAAAGAAATTAATAGGCGGGCTCAAACAATCCCCTCAGGCAGTGGGGGTGGTACGGTTGTCTCTGCTGAGGATCTCGTTGCTTCACGAAAAGGGTCATCATCTGAAATCCTCAGTCCAGATGAAAAACTAGCTGTTGCAACCGGCTTCTCTCCTTCCAAGACCAGCAATTTATCTTGGTCACCTGGCTCAGGAGATTCATTCCCAGCTGATCAGCAACTAGCACGGCTTGATGTTAGGTCACCAGATAGACTTGTGGGAGAGCTCCAGTTTCTAGATGATTCAATCAAGTTGACGCCAGAGGAATTATCGCGGGCGCCAGCTGAAGTGCTAGGAAGAAGTAGCCATGGGACTTCTTACAGGGCAACGCTGGATAATGGAGTGTTTTTAACCGTTAAATGGCTAAGAGAAGGTGTGGCAAAGCAAAGAAAGGAGTTTGCTAAAGAGGTGAAGAAATTTTCTAACATTAGACATCCTAATGTTGTGACTCTCCGAGGGTACTATTGGGGTCCAACACAACACGAGAAGCTTATTCTTTCAGATTATATATCGCCTGGAAGCCTCGCCAGCTTCCTTTATGGTAATGCTCCTTTCTATAAACTTCTCTAGTATGATATGTATCTGCAGTATTTTCTATCAAGCTTACAGTTCTTGTTTGATCTCAGATCGACCAGGCAGGAAAGGCCCTCCCTTAGCCTGGACCCAACGATTGAAAATCGCAGTTGATGTGGCACGTGGTCTAAACTACCTCCATTTCGACAGAGCTGTTCCACACGGCAACCTCAAGGCAACAAACATTCTCTTAGATGGAGCTGAGCTAAACGCACGTGTAGCAGATTACTGCCTCCACCGTCTCATGACACAAGCAGGCACAGTCGAACAGATATTAGACGCAGGAATCCTCGGTTATCGAGCTCCTGAGCTAGCAGCTTCAAGAAAACCGTTACCTTCTTTCAAATCAGATGTATATGCATTTGGTGTGATACTTCTTGAGATCTTAACCGGAAGATGTGCAGGAGATGTGATCACAGGTGAACAAGAAGGTGTTGATTTAACTGATTGGGTCAGATTACGTGTAGCAGAAGGGCGTGGCGCGGAATGCTTTGATTCGGTCTTGACTCAGGAAATGGGAAGTGATCCGGTTACAGAGAAAGGCATGAAAGAAGTTCTTGGGATTGCTTTGAGGTGTATAAGATCGGTTTCTGAGAGACCTGGTATTAAGACCATTTATGAAGATCTTTCTTCAATTTAGGAACAATGTGTTTGTTTTTCCTTGTGTCTTTTTTTAATGTTTTGTAGGTTCCAAATGGAGTTTGGTCCCTCTGAATGTGTTCTCCTTTGTCAAGTTCATGCTTTTGTTTCTGGAGAAGCATGTTCTTGATTCAAGGTAGTAGTAGTAGTATGTTCTCTTCTTGTAGTCTTTTCTTATAACATTTGCCCTGTAAAAAAAAAACGAAATCTGCTCATGTCTCATGAGTGAATGAAATTTCAATTTTTTCCCCCTAACTATACTCTCTGTTCAATACCTTTTTGAGTCGAGTTATCATCATAGAAGTTGTAGAATTGTGTGTTCTTTATCAAAACCAGATATATTACTGTCTTAATTCTTAAACCAAATCAAATAGTATCCTAAACCGATAATTACAATATTATTGGTTTTCCGGTTACAAAGAACCGGCTCTTTGAATTTGGAATCCAATCTTCTCGTCGTCGCCTCCACTTCTCTCCACCGTTGATGTAAGGGTTTGGGCTGTATTCTCGCCGCTGCTGTACATTTCCAGCCGGAGACAGTTCGGATCTGCAAATCCAGTTGTCGAGGTTGAGTTTGACTTGGGATTTTCGTTATCTACTGAGGAAAAGCTATCAAATTTGAAGCAGAGATTACGATTTCTAAACCAAACCTGTGTTTATAGTGAAGAACAAGTTTCAATTGTGATATGCAGATCACACGGCCCCCGAGTTCGATTGCTTCGATCACTCCTCGAACCTCGACTCCAGTTTTATCGCTATCCTCAAATCCTCGCCGCATTTTCAATCTCACTTCATTTCAGAACTCAAACCACGCTTTCAAGATATCACATAAATCTCAGTCTGGTTTCAGCAATCCTGTTTTGGCTGCCATGAGAAGCGAAGATGGTGCTGAAGTCGATGATGCGTTTTATATGAGGAAGTCTGTGGAACTAGCCAAGAGAGCAATTGGGTGTACTAGTCCTAATCCCATGGTCGGTTGTGTCATAGTCAAAGACGGAGAGATTGTTGGTGAAGGGTTTCATCCCAAAGCTGGTCAGCCTCATGCTGAGGTAACACTGTCGTTAATTTCATGCTATGATTTCTATAAAAATTCAATTTTTCTTGCTGGGTTTCTGCAAAATGAGAAAACTTTGATCCTAGTTTTCATGGTTGTGGAACTGGAGGCGAGTAGGTGTTAATTAGTTTGAATCATGGTGAGAGTTGTTCTTGACATTGTTGTTAGGTGTTTGCTCTTCGAGATGCTGGAGACTTAGCGGAGAATGCAACTGCTTATGTTAGTTTGGAACCATGTAATCATTACGGAAGAACACCGCCGTGCACAGAAGCATTGATTAAGGCTAAGGTTAAAAGAGTTGTGATTGGGATGGTTGATCCCAATCCAATCGTTTTCTCGTCAGGTATCAGTCGTTTGAAAGATGCTGGGATTGATGTCACTGTGGGTGTTGAAGAAGAGTTATGCAAGAAGATGAATGAGGGATTCACTCATCGAATGTTAACAGGAAAGCCTCTTCTCGCCCTCAGGTAAAGTTCATTGCTTCTCTTGAGTGGAGACAAAACCAAGTCAGTAGATTATTTTGAAGTTTTGGAAATCTTTGCAGGTATTCTATATCTGTCAATGGTTGTTTTGTGGACAAGATTGGGGAAGGGGCTTTGGATACTGGTGGTTACTACTCAAAGCTATTACAGGAATATGACGCTATAATACTTTCTTCCTCGTTTTTTGATAAGCTCCCGAGCATTTCCTCAAAAGAAGATACTAATGTTTCGATCCAACCTATTCAAATCATAGTAGCTAGCAACGCACAGCAGTCTCCTATCGTTGCTTCTTCCAATACTGTGGAAGAATCTGGTCCAAAAGTTGTGCTGTTCACCGCAAAGGAATTGGTTGCAGAATCTGAAACCAGTAGTAGCGGGGTTGAAACCGTGGTATTGGAAAAGATAAACTTGGATTCCATTCTGGATTACTGTTATCAGCGTGGACTATGCAATGTCTTGTTAGATTTAAGGGGGAACATCAAAGACCTCGAAGTGCTTCTGAGAGATGGATTGGAGCAGAAACTGTTGCAGAAAGTAGTGATTGAGGTTTTACCTGAATGGAACACAAAAGATGAGAGACAGGTCGCATCAATGGAGTGGTTAGAATCAAAACATTTGAAAGATTTACAGTGTAAGCAATCAGGTGGAAGCGTTTTGCTAGAGGGGTATTTTTGATGTTTTAATGTATGAAATGCAAGTCATGCATGATGCTATTTCCTTTTATTTATTTAAAGCATTCTATTAGTATCGCCTAATTAAAGTATTTTAGTAGAGGTTTCAAATTTCCAAAATGAAACATTTTCACATGTTGAGAATGTGATTCGACCTTGTATGGCCTACACGTGATAGGTATCCTAAGATCATATGTTTTTCGTGTAATTGGATTGGCTATCTCATAAACAAAGATCCATACAAAATTTTAAGGATGTGTTATTAATTGAAACCCGATTGTTGTGTCAACTGCATTACAAATTTGACAATTGTTTTGGATTTTTGTGGAAATATATGAACTAGTAGTAATTGACAAGAGACATGAAACATCAAAGCATATTAGGGTTTTTTTTTGTTTTTTTGTTGAAATACGAATAATGGTTGGTTCATTTGAAGTTAATCTTTGTTATTATTCTAGACAATTCTATTGTAGGTATGTCATAATTGGTATCTGAATCCGACATAAAACAATCTAACTAGTATGCGCATAATAATAGAGAGAGAGAGAGAGAGAGATGATGATGATGATGATAAAAGGGTTCGTCTACAAAATTGGTGGTGATGGGAACAAAAGATTAAGAGCATGTCTTTATGTCGACAGTGTTCGATTGAGTGGTTCAAACAAAATCCACGCAAATTGCCTTAGCGAAAAAGTTGACTAAACTCTCCCCACCACTATCCATTTCATAACCTTTTCTTTCTTTTTGCTTTTGTAATTTATAGAATACGATTTTTTCTTAGTACTTTCGGACAAATAATTGTTAAGCAAATATTGTCATACTCATACATATATAAAGATAACGATATATAGCAAGTCAATAATCAAACAATTGGGAGAGTTGAGTAACTCTTATCGAATCAATTATTTCTATATATAAGTGTGTACACCAAGTGTGAAGTGTGTACACCAAGTGTGAAGTGTGTGCACCAAAAACCATGTAACAGCTAATGCGTGGATTAATATTGATCGTCTCTTTGTGAAATTTGATATCATGTGAAGGAGTTTCCAACTTGAAATCATTTGTTAGTAAATGAAGTTGATGCATACTTCTTACACATTAATATTCATTAATTCTCACTTTAATTAAATATTCTTATCAAATCCTATTTAAAACCACATAAAACAATGACTTGACTACATGAGTTAAATTTTATATTTAAAGACTTACTTTTTAACCTTTGGCTTGCTTTTGTTATCTTATACTATATATTTTTAGTATTTTGGTATAGGGAATATAATATAAACTTTCATTCTTTACAATCCCTTTTCCACCAAACTGTTAATTATTATTAGGCAAATCAAGGTTTGTCACTTCACACAACCTCCTTCCTTTATATAAGCGTGGATGATATTATCTTGGTCTATGTGAAAGAAGTCGAGCAAACAAATACAATGGAGCCGAGCCATTCGAACACAGCTCAATCAAGAAGATCCGTAGATCGCAAAACTATTGAGAAAAATAGAAGGATGCAAATGAAATCTCTCTACTCAGAACTCATCTCTCTTCTTCCTCATCATTCTTCTAGGGTTTCCTTCTTATCTTCTCTTTCTTCTTGGTCGTCATCTTCTAAAGTATATCTATATGTGTTATATATATTATCTTGTTTGATGTTAGGAGACTTCAGCACTGCCTGATCAGCTAGATGAAGCAGCAAACTACATCAAGAAGCTACAAGTGAACGTGGAGAAAAAGAGAGAAAGGAAGAGGAAACTTGTTGCGACTACAACTTTCGAGAAGTTGAATTCCGCTGGATCTTCACTGGCTTCTTCGAGTGTCGACGTCTCCGTCCCTAAAAGGCTGCCAAAAATCGAGATTCAAGAAATGGGTTCGATCCTTCACATCTTTCTTGTGACAAGCTTGGAACACAAGTTTATGTTCGGTGAGATCATTCGTGTTCTCACTGAGGAACTAGGAGCTGAGATCACTCATGCTGGATACTCCATCGTTGATGATGCTGTCTTCCACACTCTTCATTGCAAGGTACAACATCCTATGACATATTTTTTGACCTGGAACATAGCAATCTCAAAATTTGCTACTACAACTTATAAGTCTATTATGTTAAAACAATTACGTCTAATCCAGCAGATTGTATAAACAAACACATAGTGGGAATGGGATCCAAGTTCGGTCACCGGGCTATTACAAAGTTTATAAATCTATAAATGTACTTAAAATGCTAAGACACTATACTATACATCGGTCCCATCTGATTATAAGTTGGTACTAGTTGATTAACCTAGTAATATCCAAATGTTTTTGATGTTGTTCATTGTACAATGAAATTTTTATTTATAATTTAATGTACATGTAGGTTGAAGAGTGTGATTATGGAGCTAGGAGTCAAATTCCTGAAAGACTGGAGAAATTTGTGAACAGTGTTAATTAACATTAATTTTTCTTGTTCCTTTAAAAAAAGAAAAGTTCTATGTTCTTGTTCCTTTTCTTGATTTTTTTTTTGGGTGTCAGACTCTTTTTCTTGATATGTATCATGTGCCTGTGAAAATGATGTTTCATTGTGAGCATAATATATGTACTTTTTATCTCTACTTTAAGCTGTCAAATATATGAAATTTGTAGGATAATGATTTTTCAAAAACAAAAACAAACAAAAAAAAAAGACAATTCTGAGAAGAATCACATGAACGAGGAATTTAGCCTCTAAAAACGTATTATAATTTTTGTAATGGTGTTTGTCCACCAAGATGGCTTCAGCATCAATTGTATCTTGATATGATTAATTTTTAATAAAATCTTGTTTCGTTGAAAAAAATAAAAATTTCGTATATTCTTAAAAACAATTCAATATAACAATGTAAATTTAACAAACCATATTCATATGACTAAACCATTTCAAGTAAACTCTGGAAAAAAAAACCTTTGTGAATTCCTATTTTCATGAGCTAAGTTTTCATATATGGGCTTTAAAGAATGGTTCAAATATTTAGTCCAAATAATAATTCATTCAAAGCCCATAAGCCCAAACATTAACAAAATACGGTTTTTTTAACATGTTCCCCATCGTAGGCTAAAGAATTAGGGTTTCCGCTTTCCCACACACAGCTGCAACACTATCTTCGCAAAAATGGTCGCCGAAGCTTTCGAATTCGTCGCCGTTCCTTTCAATTCCGATGGCTGGGGACCTCCAGACGCTTCTGACGTTTCCTCCTCCGCCTCTTCCACCAGCGTCGCCGCCGCAAATCTTCTCCCCAACGTTCCTTTTGCTTCCTTCTCCCGTTCCGATAAGCTTGGCCGTGTTGCTGATTGGACTCGCAATCTCTCTAACCCCTCAGCTCGTCCTCCAACCGGATCCAAATCAGATCCGTCTGCGGTTTTCGATTTCTCAGCTTTTGCTATTGACGAAGGATTTGGTCTCACTTCCTCCGGTGGGAATGCCGATGAGGACGCAGCTTTCCGTCTCGTCGACGGTAAGCCACCGCCGCGTCCCAAATTCGGACCTAAGTGGCGCTTCAACCCTCACCACAATCGGAATCAACTTCCTCAACGGCGAGATGAAGAAGTCGAAGCTAAGAAGCGTGATGCTGAGAAGGAACGAGCTCGCCGTGATCGTCTCTACAACCTCAATCGTAACAACATCCATCACCAGCGCCGTGAAGCAGCCGCTTTCAAATCATCCGTTGATATTCAGCCGGAGTGGAACATGCTTGAGCAGATCCCTTTCTCAACATTCTCGAAGCTCTCGTTCGCAGTTCAAGAGCCAGAAGACCTCCTTCTCTGCGGTGGCCTTGAGTACTACAACCGTGTTCATGATCGCATAACGCCAAAGAATGAGCGCAGGCTTGAGCGTTTCAAGAACAGGAACTTCTTCAAAGTCACTACGAGTGATGATCCAGTCATAAGGCGCCTGGCTAAGGAAGACAAAGCTACTGTTTTTGCTACTGATGCTATATTAGCTGCTCTTATGTGTGCTCCTCGATCTGTTTACTCCTGGGATATTGTTATCCAGCGTGTTGGCAACAAATTGTTCTTTGATAAGAGAGATGGATCACAACTTGATTTGTTGTCTGTTCACGAGACATCTCAAGAGCCATTGCCTGAGGCTAAAGATGATATCAATTCTGCTTATTCTCTAGGTGTGGAAGCTGCATATATCAATCAGAACTTTTCGCAGCAGGTTTTGGTTAGAGATGGAAAGAAGGAAACTTTTGATGAGGCGAATCCATTCGCCAATGAAGGTGAAGAGATTGCTTCGGTTGCTTATAGGTATAGAAGATGGAAGCTTGCTGATGATATGCATCTTGTTGCAAGGTGTGAGTTACAAAGTGTTGCTGAACTCAACAACCAGAGGTCGTTCCTTACTTTGAATGCTCTTAACGAGTTTGATCCTAAGTACTCCGGTGTTGATTGGAGGCAGAAGCTTGAAACTCAGAGAGGTGCAGTATTAGCTACTGAATTGAAGAACAATGGGAATAAGTTGGCTAAATGGACTGCACAAGCTCTCTTGGCTAATGCTGATATGATGAAGATTGGTTTTGTCTCTAGGGTTCATCCTCGTGATCATTTCAACCATGTTATATTGTCTGTTTTGGGGTATAAGCCGAAGGATTTCGCTGGACAGATTAATCTGAACACTTCTAACATGTGGGGGATTGTGAAATCGATAGTTGATCTGTGTATGAAACTAAGCGAAGGGAAGTATGTTCTTGTGAAGGATCCATCGAAGCCTCAAGTGAGGATTTACGAGGTTCCACCGGATGCTTTTGAGAATGATTATGTTGAGGAACCGTTGCCTGAAGATGAACAGGTTCAGCCACCAGAGGAAAACGCAGAGGGAGCAGAAGCAACTGTAGCTGCAGCTAAAGAACCCGAGGATAAGAAAGCTGATGAAGGTCAAGCTTGATGGGTTATAAACTCAGGTAATTTATACAAACAACTCTTAAATTACAGTTATATGCTTGTTGGATTCAGTTGATCCCTTGTTTAGGAACACGGAATAAGCTACTTAGAACACATTGATTTGCAGAAAGCACTATAATGTAGTTCGTAATCATTTGAATTTCATGCTTTCCTGTGGCTTAGTTTGATTGGTGAAGTTAATTTGTAGCTGTAAATATTATTAAACCAAGGCATTATCATTCACAATTTAAAGTATTTTCTTCAGGTCAAAATCCTACAACTTCTGGTTCTTTTGAGAGTTGAAGCTTCAATCAAACAACAACCATGGAGGGTTTTGTTTTAATATTATCTTGTCCTTTTCCAAATTTTTGTGGTACTGCTGTAATTTGAGTTTGGAATTTGATTTAGAACACTATCTTCTTGACATCTTTTTGGAAAAAAATCATCACACATGGTTGGTTTCACAAAACATAAATCTTTTTTATAAAGGCTATTACTAAAAATGTCTTGAATCATTTTGCTCTTAATTATACGGTTAAAGTTATTTTGTTGTCCTGCTATTTTAGAACATGATAATTGTTATAGCCAGTTTTGTTTGTTCCCGTCGTTGGCATATTCTCTTATGTACGAGTTTGATTCTACATGTCCAGATCGGTTTTATTCTCTGTTACACTGTCATAGTTTCATCATATGTATGTATGTATTTTGGATATTACACCCCAAATTAGATAAACCAACCAAATTGTTTCGCTAAGCATTCGGTTATTCATTTTTTGCCAAGAAGTAACACCAAAATTAACTAATAATCACAGCAACGGAAAAAAACCATAAAAAGACAACGAAACAGACCTCTCCCCTAAAGCCTCCCTTTTAAATAGTGTAATTCTGAAACCTTCAATATTCAAAACATTCTCAAGAAAACATAATAAATACATAAGAGCAAAAAAGCAAAAGAAGAAAAATATGGGTTCTTTGAACACAAAAACAATCTTCTTCTTTGCTTTGTTTTTCATATGTTTATATTTTCCTACAATCTCACTTGCAGATTCTGAAGTCGGTATGGTCATTAGATCTCCTCTATTCCATTCAAATATATCGTATCAAAGCTCAAGACTTACATATGTTTTTTTGTTTAATCTAATCTGAAAACAGTGGATGAAACTCCATTCACATATGAACAAATAAAAGAGAACGGACCAAAAGGATGGGGACAAATAAACCCAGAATGGAAAGTTTGTAACACCGGAAGATTCCAATCTCCCATCGATCTTACAAACGAAAGAGTCAGTCTTATTCATGATCAAGCTTGGAAAAGACAATACAAACCAGCTCATGCTGTCATCACAAACAGAGGCCATGACATTATGGTAATATACTTTTAAACTTTAGTTCATTTCTCTCTTTCTTGATTACATTATGATCACTATACTTAAACATTTAAAATCAATTTTTTAACTTCTTTCTCAAGGTATCGTGGAAAGGAGATGCTGGGAAAGTAACAATACGTCAAACTGATTTTAAATTGGTGCAGTGCCATTGGCATTCACCCTCTGAGCATACCGTCAACGGAACTAGGTATGACCTAGAGCTTCACATGGTTCACACCAGTGCTGGAGGAAGAACTGCTGTTATTGGTGTTCTTTACAAATTAGGCAAACCCAATGAATTCCTGGCAAAGGTACCCTATATATATAACAATATATGTTATTGCTAGAAGATTGTATTTTATAAATTGTGTTTTGATGATTCAATATATACAAATATGCAGCTACTAAATGGAATAAAATCAGTGGGAACTAAAGAGATAGATCTAGGGGTGATTGATCCTAGAGAGATTAGGTTTCAAACTAGAAAATTCTATAGATACATCGGCTCTCTCACTGTTCCTCCATGCACTGAAGGCGTTCTCTGGACTGTCGTCAAAAGGGTACTTACATTTTTGCTTCATATTTATATATAATGATCTTCTTGATCTTTACTACATATTCATCTGATCTTCCGTATACGTATATGTAGGTGAACACAATATCAATGGAGCAAATCACAGCTCTGAGGGAAGCCGTTCATGATGTGAGTACTTGTCCAAATTGCTTTATGTAATTTCATTAGTTGATATTGATTTAATTTCATGCTACTAATCACTTAATTACAAACAACTGAAAAATAGGGATTTGAGACAAATTCAAGACCGGTGCAAGAGTCAAAGGGAAGAACAGTTTGGTTCTACGATCCAAATGTTTGATTTGATGAATTCAATTGTTTTGTAATACCTTTTACCAAATATTCATTTTGTAATATTTTTTTCAAAAACAATGAGTTATAAAACGCAATCCAATTTTTTCAATATCAGCAATGTTCTTCGGGGAGCTCAATATCATACCATTAGTAATAATATTGCACTAGTCTTTGTCAGATCAGTATATCATTATATATAAGAGAGGAAAGTAATCAGCAACAATACAATATATATATATATATATATATATATATATATATATATAGGCAAATAGGTTTGTACGAGAATAAAAAAAAGGAAACTGCACTTTTATTAATCTTATTAGTCCTGGATCGATATCACAAGAAAAAAAAAAAAGTAAAAAAAAAAAAAATCGAGAAGGAGAATAGGGATAGTGGGGTTTTGGGTTTTGGAGAATTGGAACTGACGATATGTTCTTCAACAACTATATATCACGCTCCACCTGACAGTAAATGGAGGAAGAAGGAGACGTCTCCGTCGTTGTCCGGGTTAACTCAATATATACCGTTAATACATTCGAACAATATATAGCGCTTTCTTTCTTTTACGATATATATTCATAATTATTTCATCATTCAAGCAAATCCATCAAGAATCTGCTAGTCTTTAAAACCATAATTAATCACGGGAATATGTTGTTTAGGTAAAACATTTGGTATGGCGTAGCTAATCATTTGTCTCAGCTTTTCGTTAATTCATATCTAAATAAGCCAATCAGAATCTTAATTGAACAACCATGTCAAGTGAGACTGAGCGAGAAAATCGTCGAACCAGGGGAAGGAGATCGGTAAGGACGTACGTAAAGCTAAATGAATGGCCAAAAAAAAATAGCCTATATATGTATACATGCATGCGCATGACCACATTACACGTTATCATGTTTAATCTCACATGCATCATGTGTATACACAATAACTTTATTTACATTTTGTTTTCGGTTCGTTTTCATTAATAATAACTAATGAAAACGAAATAAAACATATGTTCGAATAAAATGATTGTCCTAATACTAGTCAAGTTTTGTTTGTTTCGGTCGTTATTCAACATATATGAATGAGTTCAATTCTAGCTATTATCCAGGTCGATTTTATTCTCTGTTATATTGTCAAAGTTTATGTTTACTTACTATACCATCCCAAATTAGAAAACACAACCAAAATGGAACCAGTGAACTGCATCTTTTTTTGGTCGTAAAGAAATCAGTTTTTATTTTTACAAATAGATACACCAAATTATTAACTAATAATTCGCAGCAATTAACTGCAAAAGTCATAAAAGGCCAACTAAACAAACCTCCCCCTCCCCCTAAAGTCTCCTTATATAAATAGTTTATAGATCCAAACTCTTTCAATGTCCAAAACATAAACTCAAAGACAAAGAAGACATATAAGCAAAATCAATTCTCTCAAAAGAATTACGAAAAAATGGATCGCAACACAAGAACAATCTTCCTCTTTTCACTGCTTTTCATCGGTTTACATGTCCCTAATGTACTACTCGTTTATGCTCGTGAGCTCGGTATGATTCCTATACATCTCTACCTATTTTTACTCTAGTATATAATCTGATAAGTTTTGGATCTAAATATTAAATATGAAAAAACAAAAAAAAACAGGTCATGACCACAAAGAAATATTTACATACAAACAAAAAACAGACAAAGGACCAGAAGGGTGGGGCAAGATAAATCCTGATTGGAAAGTTTGTAACACCGGGAAACTTCAATCTCCGATCGATCTTACAAACGAAAGAGTTAGTCTTGTTCATGATCAACCATGGAATATGGATTACAAACCAGCTCCGGCTGTTATTGTAAACAGAGGGCATGACATTATGGTATCGTGGAAAGAAGATGCTGGCAAAGTAACAATACATCAAACTGATTACAAATTGGTGCAATCACATTGGCATTCTCCCTCTGAGCATACCATTAATGGAACTAGGTTTGTTTTACTTCATGAATGGCAAATATATAAAAAACTAATGAATTTCATTTATATCAAAGTTGTCAAAACTAAACGAATGTGTTACAGATACGATTTGGAGCTTCACATGGTTCACACAAGTGCTCAGGGCAAAAATGCAGTGATTGGTCTTCTTTACAAATTAGGTGAACCTAATGAATTCCTCGCAAAGGTATAGTTTAATTATATACATATTTTTTGAAGCAAAAATGTTTGATTGATTTTGTTATATTCAAAAATATATAATATATGTATATATGCATGCATGCAGCTACTAGATGGAATAAAAGGAGTGGAGAAAAAAGAGAAAAATATAGGGATGGTGGATCCTCGAGAGATCAAGTTTCATTCCAAAATATATAGGTACATGGGCTCTCTCACTGCTCCTCCTTGCACTGAAGGCGTTCTTTGGACCGTACTCACAAAGGTATATTATAAATTTTGTATTTATTTTATAAATTGATAAAAATTTATATTCATTACATATATATTTCATTTGTATAGGTGGAAACAGTATCAATGGAGCAACTTACAGCACTGAAGGAAACCGTTGATGATGTAAGTAGTCGAGAAATTGTTTTATGTAATTTCATTAATTAGCATAATAAAGTACTGATTTAGTTTTATTAAGTACTAATTAAGTTTATTGACTGATGATAGGGATTTGAGGCAAATTCAAGACCGATTCAAGACCCACATGGAAGATCTATTTGGTTTTACGATCACAATGTTTGATAGATTTGATTAATTCTTTAAATTCTTTTGTAATATCTTTTTGCACTAAACATAACTATATATATATACACATTTTGTAATGCCGAGAATGTTCGAACATGAAAAATAAAGAAAACAATATGAGTTGGATTAATTTCTTTTTAAAATGTAATAAAACATTGCGTCAAATGTTCTTTAAGCTCATACCCCTTTCTCTTTCTGATACTGGCCACCAGTGTGTTGTTGGCCTTTATGCCAAGTTTTCAAAAATTCTTTTAGCTCATCATGCCAAGTTTTCATTCTCTGATCCTCATGATGATAGTCATACTTAATGAATTGACGAAGATATACAAGATACAAGTTCTCTCTGAATATGTAAACTCTTATGTTTTTTTCATGATTTTATATTAGAGTAGGAAAAATAATATATAGGTGCAGAGAAAAATAACTTCAAAGTGCAATGCATGAGGCAATCAGTTCCGGGAACTGCTGGCGTTAAGGCAGTTGAAGAGCTCCGGAAGATGGGAATTGGTGATTTTGGTTCTCTTGGTGATCTCTTGTTTCTTCTTCTTCTTGTCCTTGGGTTTATTCGATATGCCATGGAGCTGTTCAGCAGCTCTCCTCTCCGCAGTGTTTGTAGCCGGCTTCAAACCAATCTTCCACAGCTCCTTTTCCACGTCCATCATGTCGTTCGGGATGTCCATGTCGCAGAATAGAGCTTTGAATTCGTTATCAACCTGAAACGGATACTTGATATCATTTGGATACGCAATGCCTTCTTTTGAAACTGTGTACTTTGATGTCAACCAAAATATGTCATCTGAATCTTTCAGAGCCTACAAAACCAACACACAAGACAATCTTGAATACACAATAAAAAAAACGACATTATTGTATTTCCAAAACAGTGCTATGCAATGCATGCCTGCAAATCTTCCATGACGTTTGGGTAAGCATCTTTGAGATCAGCCACATCAATCCCGTTAGGGTATTTATTCACCAACGAAAGAAGCTGGCTCTTGTCCATGACATCGTGCGTTGCCTGTGACGTTACGGCAGGAGCAGAGTTGTAAACGGGGTTGGAACTCAAAGAGAAAATGGGAAACTAATGAATTAATATCTACTCCTTGAATGAAATGTTTGGTTACCTTGTAAGAGAACCTTCTTCCATCATAATGCACTTTTGGATTCTTCCTCAAACTATCAAAAACAGCCTTATTGGCATTCATATCAACGTAACAAGCTTTATTTATTTGATCTGCCGTATAGGCTTGCCTTGTCTACAAGACAAATTAGCTTCATTAAAGAAATTATTTATATAGCTCATATAGAGAGAAAAAAAAAAAATACGTACAAAGAGAGAAGGGGACACAAACCTTGAACAAAAGATCAATGACAAGCTTCATTTGAGCTCCAACAGGAGCTTTTCTGATGCTGTTAATGTTCTGAAGTTGCTTTGTATTGTCTGAAAACTTGCGAGGAGCTGCATCAGGCTTCTGAATGATTGATTCAGCCACGGACGGTCTTGAAGGCACTCTTGAAGAAGCAATGCTCGAAAACATAGTTTGACATTTCTCTTGTTGTTTGTTGAACTTATCTAGCTGCTCCTTTAAAGCCATCTGAATTGTAAAGAGAAAAAATAACCTTAACCTTTCAATATTATTAAATTGAATGCGCATGCATAGACAAAAACGTGGTATGAAATTACAGAAAATTCATCTGAAATCCAATTCATAGTTGTAATCGGAATCAACTTTTGATCAACAGGAAATACAATTCCACTTCATAGCTCATATCACGAGAAAACATCTACACCATAATTTTTCAGAAGATCATCATGGACACAAAATAACTTTTAATGTAGAATTAGAGCTTGCTTAGTACACAAGGCCGATTCCCCCAAAAACTAGGGTTTCCACCCGATGCGATTTTCCATGATAATTACCGAGGGCTTTATCAATCTAGACAAACTTTAGAGAATGAACAAGGCTTAGAAACGAAAACAAAAACTTGATTTTTGCTTAGTCGATGATAGGATTTTAGATTTTTTCGATTTTGGGAGAGATATTGAGAACGTGCTTTAGGGTTTGTTGTACTGAACGTCGAAGCTGATGACTCCTTGTCTGATCGGACCTTCGAATTAAGTTACAATGAAAAATAATATACAGTATTAGGTTATTGCTTAAAGCCTTAAACCCAAATTACGAATATATAAAGATAAAAATAAAAAAAAGTAAAAGTACAAGTAAACAAAGGAAACTTGCGGCACAAGAAGAAAACAAATAAAGACGTATGAAACGGTGCGCTTAATAGAAGAAACCAAAGGTGTTCACGTGTCAAATACGTGTCGCCAAATCGACACGTGTCACATACTTAGGCTGCCAGCTTCTCTGCGGTTCGATCTATAAGGTGCAACGTATTAGAGAAACCGACTTCGAAAACACACACTGCAATCTAATTGAATCATATAGCAAAAATTTTGAATTGGAAGAAACAATTCTTTGTTTTTCTTGATTTGATTGAAAATGGCGGCCATGCAACTAACAAGAACTGCTCTCTTTGGTCTCTCAAAGGCTTTCCCTGGAATCAAATCTCCGGCAACTCTCGCTGCTTCTACTAGGCAAATCTCTCGTGTCTGCTTCGCCTCCTCTGTTAGCCATTCCGAGGTTACAATTTTTAGATTTTCATATGGTTCTATGACACATAAGAGTAATTTAGATTCTCATGTGTGTTGTTTTGTTAAGAGTTAGATTCAAATAAGGCCGATTTGAGGGTCCAAAACATTGTCGAACCTGTCCTAACGTTATAAGATGTCGAGATACTTATAGCAGTTGTTTTAGCTATGTTTTGGTCGAGTTTTTAGCTTAACGTGTTGGTGAAGCTATTAATACTAGTTGGTACGTACCTTGCAATGTTTATTTTCAGGGAAGAGATCCGCTAGATAACGCTAGAGATTCAAGGACTGATTCAGCTTACGGATCAAAGAAATGGAGGGATGATATCCAAGAGAACTATGCCCAAGCGGCTCAAGACAAGGCCAACGAAGGAGCGAGCAAAGCTGCAGATAAAGCCTACGAAACAAAAGAGCAAGCGAAGGACACAGCGTACAATGCAAAAGAGAAGGCTAAGGATTATGCGGAACGGACTAAAGACAAGGTCAACGAAGGTGCGTCGAAGGCAGCGAATAAAGCTGAAGATACAAAAGAAAGAGCTAAGGATTACGCTGAAGATACGATGGACAATGCAAAAGCGAAAGCTCGAGATGCGAAAGAGAAGGTGAAAGAGTATGGAGAAGACACTAAGGAGAAGGCAGAAGGGATTAAGGAGACTGTGAAGGGTAAAGCTGAAGAACTTGGGGAGAAGACGAAGGAGACTGTGAAAGGAGCTTGGGAGAGTACGAAAAATGCTGCTCAGACCGTGACTGAAGCTGTGGTTGGGCCTGAAGAGGATGCAAAGAAGGCCCGGGCTGATATCGATAAAACCGTGGAAGACCATACGAAGAAACAAGCGGAGAAAGATCGGAAAGAGGATGATTTCATCACATTTAACTGATGTGGAAGACATATGTATATCTTTGTGTTTCTCAGGGTCATTTCTTCATGTATTGCTCTGCTTTCAGTTTTTTTCTCTGTTTACAAACTAAACTTGGTCTCATGTACGTGACAATGTGAGATGCTTTAGTATATAATTAAATAAGACAAAACTATGGTTATTTCTATGATTCTCAAGCTTCTATTTCTTTTTAGTCAATCTCAACTTAGATGGACATAATGAATATTTGCTGTACGAGGGTCATGAAGTTCATTGTGTAGTGTGTTGCCTCGGTCCATTATTCGAACAAATCACTGGTAAGTCGCTTACAAAGTTATTTGCTTGTTATACAAAGTTTTAGTTATAGTTGAATTTGTTGTCATTGTGATGTAGGCATTGTTCCGCAGTAGTGCCTTTCTAACCATTCTATTCCTCTAAACTGTATCCATTATTTATGCGGACCGTTTTCTATAAAAGTAATGTTATAACTCATTTCCTTGATGGATTGATGCCACTGATGAGAACACTAGCGTGCGTACGCACATTGTGTTTTAAGTCTTATCTTTTTTTTTAAAAAAAAGGAAAAGAATATCACTAGGTGCTTTGTGAAAGATTAGCTTTACATTTTGACTTCCACATAATTGAGTTACTTGTTATCTTAATTTTTGGTATTGATGTCTACTTAATCTTTTCTACTGTCAACAATTGTATAATGTACTAAAAAGAGAAATTACCAAAGATTTTTCATTGCACCAATGAGAGCAGGCGCGTAAGCTATACGCATTGCACCAATGATAGCAGGCGCGTAAACTATACGCATTGCACCAATGAAAGCAGGCGCGTAAACTATACGCGCCTACACTATGTTTTCTTCTCTTTTTCTCAAAATAAATCACTATTAAATGCTTAATAAAGTTAATAATTAGTGTTTTGTCGATTTCGAGAAAATTAGATTACTATTCAAACACCAATTAAAAATATTTCAACCAAAAATGTATATTATGCATAATGAGATAAAGCGTGAGAACACGTGTTTTCACATATTATGTAAGCAAGTAACGCATGTTTGATTAGCCTTAAATGGTCATTAAACTCTCAATTTCCTATAGATTTTTTTTTCTTTGTGGGATTTGACTAAATTAACTATATAGCTTCTTGATTCTTAAATTGTTTCATATACAGACAAGAGTTAATAATAAGAAAACCTTGGTCTTTGACTAAACTTAGCTTAAGGTTTTTATTGTGTGTGATAGATCTTCAGATTTTGTTCAAACACAAACTTTGACACGTTTTACTCAAAATCTCACTCTCCTAACACCCGAAACGTATCTCTTCTTAAATTTCCACGCCCCAAGAACCTATATAAGGAGACACCTTCACACCTTCCACAACACAAAAAAAGAAAAGCTAGCAACAACAATATCTTACAATTCTTAAGAGAAAATCAAAACAGTTCTTAGAGAGAAATGGCTAACTTGAACGTTTCCGCAAAGGAAAACAACCAAGTGAACGAAGAGAAGCCTCCACCGAGAGTGTGTCCAAGGTGTGATTCTGACAACACAAAATTTTGCTACTATAACAACTACAGCCAGTCTCAACCGCGCTACTTCTGCAAGAAGTGTCGTAGATACTGGACTCATGGTGGGGCTTTGAGAGACATACCGATTGGTGGACGTTGCCGTACCCCCAAGCGTCCGAGGATAGAACAGTCTTCGGTTTCTCTGATGGTTTCCATTGAGAACCACCAACCAGGTAATAATCACCAACCTTTGAGACATGTTCAAGAAAACAGCAGGTTTCTTGGATCTTTTGGTGGTTCCTCTACTTCTTCTGTTGCTACTTCCATTGTTGGGAACCAGTTCGGTTACATGACTGAAGTTCATAGTGTAAGTGTAACCAATGTGCCTCCAGGTCGAAGTTTTCGACCAATACTACTGGAGCGCTTGGATTTTGGTGAGGAACCGTATCAGCAAGGGTTTTACGATGTTGGAACCAATGATTTGATTGGTAATCCTTTCATCAACCAATCAATTGGTGAGTACGTTGATAATCTAAACAGCTATGGCATAAACCAAAGCAGCTTCAACAACACTATGAATGGGAGTCATGAAGCAAGCTCTAGTGGAAGCAGAGGATCTTCAGGCACCGAGATGAACAACGACGACAACAAGAAGAAGATCGGAAGCAACTTTTTCTTTAGGTCTGCTTAACCATTTCGATAAAAATCGTCCTTAAAATAAATTTAAACCGTATTATTACCTATTCCCTATTTCTTATGTTAATGTTTTAATTCAGTCTTTTGGTTCTGTTTTCGTTTTCTTTTTCTTTTTCAATTGTCGTTTCTGTTTTTGTTGGGTCTTTAAAAAAAAAAAAAAAAAAAAAAATTGTTGGGTCTTTTTTTCTAGTAATTAAAAGTTTGCATCATTGTAGCCCAAAAGATTAAAGACATCAGTTGTTTGATATTTTGTTTTCCTAATAATATATAACTATCGAAGCGTCATCAGTTCATTTGCTAATGTATAGTGTTCCTCGTTACAAGTATTGACTTAATGCAAACTACAAACTAACTTTTGAGTTATATATATAACATGCAAATATTTAGAGTATAGGGAACATATTACGTCCAATAGAAATCCATATGTATCTTTCGATCGGGGACTATACAATTTTAAGTTATTTCTTGAAAACTATATATATAAGGCTATCATTTTACAAATAATACTGTCCAAATATAGGTCCGGTCTGATAAACTAATTTTGTTTTCTCGATTCGATATGAGAATGGGTTTCTATTGTCATAGACTCCAGTCAATCCAAATATTCAATATGATTGTACTACTATTAATAATTCGCAAATTTATATATAAAGCACAATGATTGCTATATTAATTGTTGAGAAAAACATAAAGAATACTCGTAAATAAGTACTTACGTAGTTAATCATAAAAAGAACCATTATGACAAGTCGACAACAATGATACATAGGTATATAATTATTGTTAAAATGTAGTACTCGTATTGAAATTGTCAGAATACATATCAATCAACACAATATACACAAAATTTTAATGTTACCAAAAAAAAAAATCCTAAAATGTCAATCATCTAGTAAGTCAACTAATAAAGTAGATAGGTGAATCCAAGTAAATTGAGATTTTCTATTAAATATGACGAACCAAAAATGATGTAATACTTATAAATTAATTGAAATATGTTTTTTAATATAACATTTATAATCTTTAATGAATATCTGTATTGTAAATATTTAATTGATATGTTGAAAATGTGTGTTTTATATTAATAAATTTATTTATAGGTAATTATGCATATATGTTTAAGGTGAACCTAAAAATAACAAAACTATATTATAATAAGTAGTTCACTCAGATTCTCCTTAGCCATAACGGCCAATTTCTTAGAGAACAAAAAAATCTTAAATGGATATTAAAGAAATTAAAGAAAAAATCCCATAACAACAAAGACAGTGACAAAAGATCCAGATTTTGGTAGCTCATACGTGGGTTATCATACGACCGGTTAAGCACAATGAGAGTAAAAGCTAGATTTTGTCAGTCATTGATTCCGACAAAGATAGAGATGACGTCTTCCACAACTATTTTGACACGTTCTCATTTTAAAATCAACTTCATTACGGCCCCTATATTTATATATCGTTTTCAAAAGTTGGCAAAATGCAACCTTAACCACATTGTGAAATTAGATATGTGTTTTTCATTAACCACTCAAAATAAATTGGGACTTCATTTGTCTTTAACAAAATGCAAAATATTTCCTCGGCACTAATTTTTAAAACATTGATTGTACTGTTTAGAGTGTTATTTGTAAATAATAGTTTTGATTACACCCAATTTACATCTTAATATAGAGAAGACTTCTTAGAGTCATTAAATTATCGAAATTTGAGATGAATAATAGCTTGCGACAAAGCAAAATTTAAAGACTTGCAATACACGTGTCGATGCATTGAATACCAAAAGCTATTGACGGTACAAAACGTCAAAAACAAGTGCCCTACGACGTGGGTAATCAGCAAACTCATCTGCATATATAAATACGAGTTTCATATCTCAAGCATTATCATAGCTCAAACCAAAATATATATATATATATATATATTAACTCTCTCATCAATCGTTTCTCTATTATTTCATTACACATTGTTCTTGTTAAAAATCGAGAAAAAAAAATGGCTACTTCTCGTCTAGCTAGGTTTGCATCGGAGGTTGCTCCGCCTCAATTCGTGACAGTGATGAGGAGGCACAGAGCAGCGAAGCAGAAGCTAGACACAATCAAAGAGGAAGATTATAAAGAAGATTGTTTCAACAATGGTGGTACGACGACGATGATGGTGAAAGCTTCTCATCATCATGTTGTTTATTCATCTTCTTCGTCTTCTAGTTCGGTTTCTATTTCCGGATCACCAAGCAGCTCTAAGAATTTTCTCTCGGAGGTTCGAATTGGCTCTTTTTCTGTCTTCGAAAACTAAAGAGATCTACTAATACTATACGTATACGTGTGTTTTGTATAATTTGTACTGATCGGGTCGATATTTTTGTGTGCACCCGTTTTATTTTATATACATAGGTTTGCTTAAGATCATTCCGACCTTTTTATTATTATTTAAAAGGTCCGATATATATTCAGTATACGCTTTTGTTGTATACCTCTTCTTGATTACCGCCGTTTATTCGATCGATACGGCCGGGTTCTCTACATATTGTAATTTTCGAAACCCTTTTTAATAAAGATGTAGTTTTATAGATAATGTTTACAACAACTACATGAACTTCCCTTCCTAATGAGCCAGTTAGAGATGTAAAGACGTACCTGCCCACGACATGGGTTGGACTTGGAGTCTATCTTTCTTGATATATTCAAAATACGTATGTAGTAGCAAGCATCGTACGTTATGCCTCTATTGAATCCGAATGATAACACATAAATAACTGTAGCAAAAGAATTTGATCGATCTTGAACCTTTGTTGTATCAATAACATATAATATGTGAGTTTGAATTTGGATAGTAAATACCCATGATCTTTCTATACCAGACAGAAACAATGATATCGATTACCCGTACCAAATAGCCCAAATAAAAGATGTTGACATATGATGGTACGACTCATATGAGTGTGATCATTGCACAAAGGGTAATGAGATTACTCGCTAAATGTTCCTAGAAATATTGAAAACTCATGCAGTCATGAACAAATATTGAAATTTTTAGTTTTTTTATATGATTCGATCAATCTTTAAGTTTTCAACTTGACTGTATATTCTTAACAGAAAAGAAACTACAAATTAGGAGACAAATTACAGAGAAATCAATGACTTTAAAACCCTTTAAACCGAGATTTACTAGAAATACGCGTTTGAATGTTGTTAGATAAGAAAAGTGAGACAATTTTTGTTTTTTTTTGAATTTAAAATTGAATAAAGGTTACTTTTTGTTTTCTCCATCATCTCTTTCTCTCCTGAGTGGTTTCTCCTCTGTTTTATTTCTCTTGTATCCCTAGATTTGTGGAGAAAAACACCGGTAAAATCAGGTGCAGATTTTGCTCTGCTTCATTGGGGTCAGTAACTTTCTCTATTTCTCCTCTGCTTCTCAAAAAATTTCGTCTATTTGGAAAGACCCATATCAAATTGAGACATCTGGATTGATTTGATTGGATTTCGTGGACTCCATCGATCTTCAGATCGTGCCAAGCTTTTAGCTCTTCCTGTGGGGTTTTGATTCATCTCCTTACCAGATTTTGAGGTTATAGTTCTCATTTAAGTCTTTAGATGAAGTTGTTCGATGACTTGGCTACATTTTTGATTACGCCATTTGCAGTTTTGACGCGTTGATTCGACTTGGAAACCAAAAAGTCGAGTGCTTTTGATTGGGAAGTAGTTATTATAGCTGACCCTTAACAATGAAAAGGGTAAAAAGCGAATCTTTTAGAGGGGTTTATAGTTCTACTAGGAGGTTCAAGTTGTCACATTTCTTGCTAGCTATTGCTGGGTTTTACTTGGTTTTCTTGGCGTTTAAGTTCCCACATTTCATCGAGATGGTTGCTATGTTAAGTGGGGATACTGGTTTAGATGGGGCGTTAAGGGATACTGGTTTGGATGTTAGTTTAAGCGGGTCGTTACACAGTGACATGTTGAATAGGAAGCTAGACGATGAAGAGAATCAAAGTGGTCCTTCTACTACTCAGAATGCGCCACAAGAAGAGAAGTTCAGTGGATCTAAACCGATTCAGCCACTTCGTTTTCGGTATGGTCGAATATCGGGAGAGGTCATGAGACGTAGGAATAGAACTATCCATATGTCACCCTTTGAAAGAATGGCAGATGAGGCTTGGATTCTTGGATCCAAGGCTTGGGAAGATCTTGATAAGTTTGAGGTAAAGAACGTTGACGAGAGTTCTTTGATTTACGAACGGAAGGTCGAATCATGTCCTTCTCAGATCTCAATGAATGGAGATGACTTGAATAAAACCAATAGGATCATGTTGCTTCCCTGTGGTCTTGCTGCAGGATCTTCTATTACAATTCTTGGAACTCCACAGTACGCACATAAAGAATCTGTGCCTCAGCGTTCGAGATCGATAAGAGGCGATGGAATGGTTATGGTTTCACAATTTATGGTTGAGTTGCAAGGGCTGAAGACAGGGGACGGGGAATATCCCCCTAAAATTCTTCATTTGAACCCTAGAATTAAAGGTGATTGGAATCACCGGCCAGTCATTGAACACAATACATGCTATAGGATGCAGTGGGGGGTTGCTCAAAGATGTGACGGTACTCCATCCAAGAAGGACACAGACATGCTTGGTAAGATTTTAACATCCCTCATAGACTGCTAATTAGTTTGGACTTTAGATGTGGAAGATCAAATTACGGATATATGACGAATTCATATTGAAAATAGTATCAAGAAATAGCAAGCCGATCCCCAGTTAGTTACTTAGTTTTCTTATTTCTGAATAGTTATGTTTCCTTTTGTTTTCTCTTCAATTAAGTAAATGTTCTGTCCCAGTTGATGGATTCCGTAGATGTGAAAAGTGGACAAGGAATGACATAATTGACATGGTGGACTCCAAGGAATCAAAGACAACTTCTTGGTTCAAACGGTTTATAGGACGTGAACAGAAACCAGAAGTCACTTGGTCATTCCCTTTTGCGGAAGGCAGGGTCTTTGTCCTAACTTTGCGAGCTGGAATTGACGGTTTCCATATAAATGTTGGAGGACGGCACGTATCTTCATTTCCTTATCGACCGGTATGTGATATCAGATGAGCATTCTGCTTATATATGCCTTACTAATTGGTCTCAACACTCAATAGTACAGTTTGTTATTCAAACCAAGAGACTTGTCTCCTCTGAGTCTGATAATTTGTTATTTCTGGCCTCGCAGGGGTTTACCATAGAAGATGCCACAGGACTGGCAATTACTGGAGATGTTGATATTCACTCTGTTTATGCTACTTCTCTTTCAACATCTCATCCGAGTTTCTCACCTCAGAAAGCAATAGATTTTTCTTCAAAATGGAAAGCTCCTCCATTGCCTGGCATTCCTTTGCGCCTTTTCATGGGTGTTCTATCTGCAACTAACCATTTTTCAGAGCGCATGGCAGTGAGAAAGACATGGATGCAGCATCCTTCAATTAAATCTTCAGATGTAGTAGTCCGATTCTTTGTTGCAATTGTAAGTTCTTACCACCTTACCTTCTGTTAAAGCATAATGCAGAAACAAATTCAATAAGAAACTTAATACTGCAGACCGATTGTACTGGACCAGTGAGGTGGAGAATTACTAATTTGAAGTTCTTTACCTTGAAATGTTAAGCAGTTCATGCTTTTCTTTTGTTGATTTATGTTTTTTTTTTTTTGTGTGTGTGTGCGGTAGAATCCTAGAAAGGAAGTCAATGCAATGCTGAAGAAAGAGGCTGAATATTTTGGAGACATTGTGATTCTGCCCTTTATGGATCGTTACGAGCTTGTGGTCCTTAAGACAATTGCTATTTGTGAATTTGGGGTATTGATCATTTCTGCAGTCACGACTCCATCCCTATTTAAGTCTTGTGTATAATCCCTAATAATGTTTCCCTCATCGTATCTACTCATACAAATCGGAATATGATTGTCTGAAATACTTTTCAGGTCCAGAATGTGACAGCTCCATATATAATGAAATGTGATGATGACACATTTATCAGAGTGGAATCAATTTTGAAACAACTCGATGGAGTCTCTCCGGAAAAATCACTCTATATGGGAAATCTAAATCTTCGACATCGTCCTCTTAGAACTGGAAAGTGGGCAGTTACATGGGAGGTATAATAGCTTCTGTTCTTTGCCTGCATACACTTTTTTATGATGCAGATATCAGAACCGGCCTCAGATACTAACATTTTTTACTTATTTACTGTAACAGGAGTGGCCAGAATCTGTTTATCCTCCTTACGCCAATGGACCCGGATACATAATTTCAAGCAACATTGCTAAGTATATTGTTTCTCAGAATTCAAGACACAAGCTTAGGGTCTGACCATCTCTACTTTTCTTACTCTATCTCCATCTCGTACTCTTATATAAGAGCATCTCTCATTTTGAATTGATTTTAAGCTAAACTAGTTCCACATTGTTGTCACAGCTGTTCAAGATGGAAGATGTGAGCATGGGAATGTGGGTAGAGAAATTCAACGCCTCAATGCAGCCTGTTGAATACTCACACAGCTGGAAATTTTGCCAATATGGATGCACATTGAACTACTACACTGCACATTACCAATCTCCGAGTCAGATGATGTGCTTGTGGGATAATTTGTTGAAAGGCCGAGCACAATGTTGTAATTTCAGATGACAAAACAAAGCCCTAGCAGGGAGATAACATGATTACAGATTAGGCACCACCTTAACTTTTTTTTTGTATTTTTCCTCTTTGGTGTCAGTAGGTTGGTTTACACATTTGCACATTTATGCATTCAAGATAGCAATCTCCTATTGTACATTGGTGTCCATTGAGTAGGATGTTAATCTCAGAAAGAGTTTTATACTGATATCTAAGCACATTTTTTTCAAAAGTTCTTTGCCATACCACTACGGGCTACCAAGAAAGAGAAGTAAAAGTCACTTCATTATGCTAATCTGTTGGTCTATGTAGCTTGACTTGGAATCAAGATTTTGGCTTTCATCAAGTTGCATAATCATCTCCATAACCTGCGTCTCTTCTCCGAATAGTTCCCCAGCTTTTGCTGTCCAGGAGAGGGAAATGGAGGGAAGGCCATTCATAAGATCCAGGTACTGCCGAGTTGTCTGCTTCCTTTCTCAGTGTTTTGCTACAATCTTCATCCTGTAAATGTCACATGCCCATAGAGATAAGAGCTTGGTTAGCATACAGAGTCATGAATTGATCAGCATCCATGAGTGATTGTATAAACAGAGCATCTAAACATCAGTCTTAAAGAGTGTGCAAGTCAATAGCAGAAGCTCTTTCTAAAGTCCTTAGACTAATTGAAATGCAGAAAACTCAAACTGTAGCGCTAAGACTGCCAATTAATCTCTTCATGATCAGATGGATACAGCCATATGTGCTTATTGATTTTATTTTATGTACCACCGTGTTTAATCCTCATGCCAAGACCTCACGGCTATGAAGTTCTGATACACGGTGAAATAATCAAGCAAAGCAAAGAGACATAGAGAAATTTATCCTCTTGAAGTATTAACAGTTACGATATGCAGAATGAACTAGAGAGTTAAAAGTGTCAAACTTGAGCAATGAGATTGATTAAATTGATATAGAAACATCAGAGCTTGACCTGAAGCATTCTCACCAAGGTAAGAATCTTATCTAGAGGCTAGCTTTGATCCGATAGAACAATGCTTCAGCATTCAAAATCCATCCTTTGACTCGTTCATAACTCTTGGTTAGGAGATACTGCTCTCGATTCAACTCTTCTGGGGTTTTGACATTTAGAAGTTTGAAGTTCTGCTTGGTTCTTTTTCTTCCGACAGAGAATAGCGGCGGCTGTCGAAGTTGTTTGGAGAAATTGAGAAACAAAATTTAGGGTTCTGGAAAGTCATCATCTTTAGAAGTCTTTTTATATGATTTAATGGAACTCGCCTCAGTACTAAGGCAATTGACGACAATGCCCACACGAACAGAGCAAAATGCCTCCATGCTCAGAAACCTCTGTTTTGCTACTTCCCATGGTCGAGAGATGCATCACTCTCTTGCAAACATACGGCGTTTCATCGCTAACGAAACTAAGACAAATCCACGCTTTTTCAATCCGCCATGGCGTCTCAATCGCTGATGCCGAGATGGGCAAACACCTCATCTTCTACCTCGTATCTCTTCCTTCTCCACCCCCCATGTCTTACGCTCACAAGGTGTTCTCCAAGATTGAGAAACCCATCAATATCTTTATTTGGAACACCTTAATCAGAGGCTACGCCGAGTGCGATAGCAACTACTCCGTCTCTGCTGTTTCTCTCTACCGTGAAATGAAAGTATCTGGTTTGGTCGAGCCAGATACTCATACTTATCCGTTTCTTCTTAAGGCTGTGACGAAAATGGCGGATGTTCGTTTGGGAGAGACGATTCATTCAGTTGTTATAAGAAGTGGGTTTGGTTCGTTGATATTTGCTCAGAACTCTCTGCTCCATTTGTATGCCAATTGTGGTGACTTATCGAATGCTTACAAGGTGTTTGATAAAATGCCTGAGAAGGATCTTGTAGCTTGGAACTCTGTGATTAATGGTTTTGTAGAAAACGGTAAACCAGACGAAGCTTTGGCGCTATATACTGAAATGGACTCTAAGGGTATCAAGCCTGATGGGTTTACAATCGTAAGCTTGTTGTCTGCTTGTGCCAAGATTGGTGCTTTGACATTGGGTAAGAGAGTCCATGTATATATGATCAAAGTGGGTTTGACACGAAACTTACATTCCAGCAATGTTCTATTGGACTTGTATGCGAGATGTGGAAGAGTCGAAGAAGCCAGAATAGTTTTCGATGAAATGGTGGATAAGAACAGTGTCTCTTGGACTTCATTGATTGTCGGTTTAGCTGTTAATGGTTTTGGAAAAGAAGCGATTGAGCTTTTCAGGGTTATGGACTCAAAGGAGGGATTATTACCGTGTGAGATCACATTTGTGGGAATCTTATACGCTTGTAGCCATTGCGGGATGGTGAAGGAAGGTTTTGAGTATTTCAGGAGGATGAGAGAAGAGTATAAGATTAAGCCTAGGATTGAACATTTTGGTTGTATGGTCGATTTGCTAGCTAGAGCTGGACAAGTGAAGGAAGCGTTCGAATACATAATGAAAATGCCGATGCAACCAAATGTTGTAATCTGGAGAACATTGTTAGGAGCTTGTACCGTTCATGGTGAGTCAGATTTAGCGGAATATTCCAGACTCCAAATCTTACAGTTAGAACCAAACCACAGTGGGGATTATGTCCTCTTATCAAATATGTATGCATCCGAGCAGCGTTGGTCCGATGTGCAAAAGATAAGGAAACAAATGTTAAGAGACGGTGTGAGAAAAGTTCCAGGTCACAGCTTAGTAGAAGTAGGAAACAGAGTTCATGAGTTTCTTATGGGTGATAAGTCTCATCCGAAAAGCGAAGAGATTTACGCTAAGTTGAAAGAAATGACTGATAGATTGAGATTGGAAGGCTACGTGCCACAGATTTCGAACGTTTACGTTGACGTGGAGGAGGAAGAGAAAGAGAATGCTCTGGTCTATCACAGTGAGAAGATTGCTATTGCTTTTATGCTAATTAGCACACCAGAAAGATCACCAGTTAGAGTTGTGAAGAATCTTAGAGTCTGCGGAGATTGTCATTCGGCGATCAAACTTGTGTCTAAAGTTTATAACCGAGAGATTGTTGTGAGAGACCGTAGCAGGTTTCACCATTTCAAAAATGGTTCTTGTTCTTGTCAAGATTACTGGTAAATGGTAATAATGCACAAAATATATAAATGTTTCAACCATATTTCTCAGTTTTGTGTACGTATTCTATCAGAAAACTCTTCGTTTATCGGAATCTCCTTTTATGAGTTTATGACTGAAGTCATTGTCTCACTGAACCTCATAGGGGAAATTTGTAAAATTGATGAAAGTATATATGGGTTAAATTGTCGAATAAAAAAGTAAGGGGCTAAAATATTTTAAATTAAAAATGTTTTGGGGACATAACGAAAATTATAGTGTATAGTGAATTAGTGATTAGACCGCGTGTTTTCATGGCGGGATGGTGAAAATATTTGAAAGAAAATGAAAATTTGGCGGCTTTTTCTCAAAGCTTACATGGTAAGCCTCTTTGGACGACACGCTTCATCTATCTATCTATCTATTTACAGTACCCAAAGAGTCGCTTCACTCCCTAATTTCATCAGATTGATTCGTTTCGTTTACTCTATCAGTGAAGATCGAAATGGCGGACACAAGTCACCTGGAGAGGATGGGAAGAGAACTCAAGTGCCCTATTTGGTATGTTTCTCTCCCTCTTTGCTAATTATGTCCGCATTTTATGACGAACACGGCGAGGAAAAACCCTAATTTCTTATTTCAATTTGAATTTTGTTTTTTGTATGGCAGCTTGAGTCTATTTAATTCTGCAGTTTCACTTTCGTGCAACCATGTCTTTTGCAAGTAAGTATCTTCGTATTGTTACATTATTGTAGTCTATTCAAGCGTTGACACTGGTCTTCTCTTGATCTCAGTGAATGTATAGTGAAATCTATGAAAGTGGATGCTACTTGCCCAGTTTGTAAAGTCCCTTACCATCGTAGAGGTACTTTCTCATGCCTCTTAATTTCTCTCAAAACAGTCAGATTTTTCTATTGCTATGCCCAAGTTTGCAATTGTATATTGTTTTTTTATTATTCTGTTATATTATTTATAAGAGATTCGAGGTGCTCCTCATATGGATAGCTTGGTGAGCATTTACAAGAACATGGAAGATGCTTCTGGTGTCAACATTTTCGTCAGCCAGAATAATCCTTCACCATTAGGTACTTTGTCTTACTGTTGTCTTAATTGTATCGATGTGTTGATATTTTGTTATTCCGAACGAAACAAAAGACAGTGATTGAATCGATACAAGTTCATGTTCACTGGACCGTAATCATTTCACTTGATATTCTATTATCTTAAGTTGATGATGTTTAAATCAAATGTCAAGCTGTTTCTGTAATCATTAAGCTGTCTAAAAAAGTGAGATTTGCGTTCTGTGATGTGTTCCTCAGATAAAGAAAAGCATGTGAGAGATGCTTCCACAGAAAAGGAAAATGATAAGAATCGTCAGGTTTCTAAGAAGGGCCGAGCAACCAAGAGGAAAGAGTGTGGAAAAGCCAAGGAAACAGATACAGATGCACGGGGACCTATTGTTATGAAACCTTCTTCCCAAACCAAGAAAAGGGTGCAGCTGCTGCAGAATCTCTCTTCTGAAAGCTTAGCTAAACCTACTGAGTCTACTCAATCAGCTGAAAATATCAAGGGTTACACTGACAAAACCGTGATTCGTTTGGATGAGCATCCATGTCTGAATAAAGAAGGAAATCTGTCACCCTTCTTTTGGTTGAGAGATGAAGTTGATGGGGAGAGCTCAAGTCAGCGCACACTAAGTGATCCACTTTTAGATACTACACCTGTTGATGTTCCATCTTTCAGCGATTTGATGGACTCAGATCATGAGAGCCCATTGAAGGTTAGTACTTATAATTCTCAATAGCCTTTTGTAATGCTATCTTGCAGTATTCATATTGCATTATATTGTTCTGTGGTATTGGTACATGTTACACTTGCTCTGAGCCTCTGAGTTTATAGAAATGTGTTAGATAAGTCTTAGTTATGCGGTGGAGGATATCTTTGATTTAGATTGAATACTGCGAGTTTAAAGGAATTTGACACATCTATTACTCATAATGTCAAATACTAAGTTACATGGTATTCCCTGATTCAATCCAATATCCCAAAAGAGCGTCGTATCCTTTAATCTTACCTTTTTCTCGGTGAGTGTTTCAGGTTGATGAGCAAGAAAAGTCAAATCCTGGAGACATGTTTGACAGTGAAATGTTTGAATGGACTCAGAGGCCTTGTTCTCCGGAGATTCTACCTAGTCCTGTGAAGGCAAAGGTAAAAGGCAGCTCTTCCATCTGATACAGCAAGGTCTTTGTTTTCTTTGATAGTGTCATCAAGTGTATTGAAATGAATTCAAATTTTCTATCGATTTGCAGGTCCCAGATAGAAGTGAGATTGATCTTAATCCAAAGAAACCATCTAAAGTAGCATTATCCAAATGTAAAACCCGCAAAGCAGGAAGTGAAAGAAATACAGTTGTTAGAAGAAGTGGAGTTTCAGAGGATAACATAGAATCATCTGCAATAGCAAACATTAGTGAGAAACAAGATATTTGTGGGGCTTCTGGCACTACTATCACGAATGATGGGAATCCTGATGAAAATGTGAACGCTAAAAGGGTTACAAGAAGCAAAGGTCAGAGTTCACGAGTTCAGTCTGATCTGAATGTATCCAAGGCAGCAGATGTGAAGCAGGGGTCAAAGAGGAAAAGATCTGGCATTAAATCCTCTTCAGCTCATCCAATTGCAGGATCTGATGAGCTCCCACTTGGAACAGAAATTTTGGGAAAGGGTGATCAGGATCAATCTCATTGTTCATCTGATACACATCCTGAAAAACAAAGTCCCACCAAGAAACCCTCTCTGAAGAAGAGGGGAAGAATGTCCACTGCAAGCTCTTCAAAAGATTTATCTGGAAAAACTCAAAAGAAGACTTCAGAAAAGAGATTGAAACTTGATTCCCATTTGATTTCAAGCAAAGTTACACAATCGCATGGAAATGATATCCTAACTGATAAGTTGAATCAAGTAGGTGATAAACAAGATTCAACAATCAAAAAGAAATCCAGTGTGGATAAAGACAATCACACCATGCAAGTTATAGAGAAATGCTCAGCGAGAAACAAGTCTACATCTGGAGGTAGTGCACATTTGCGACGATGTGATGGACCTTCAACGAAGAAATTCACATGTGCCTTTTGTCAGTCTTCCGAAGACACAGAGGTTGGCTTCACTATCTCACATTGGAGTCTTAGATGTAGACCTTTGTTGATTTTTACCACTTTGTTAATTGGAATGTTATATGGACAGGCTTCAGGAGAAATGGCTCACTACCTCCGAGGTGAACCTGTCTCTGCAGATTTTGATGGTGGGTCTAAGGTCATACATGTTCACAAAAACTGTGCTGAATGGTAAGAAATATGGATAGTAGTAAATCATTTAACCTGCTGAAGGATATGGCATATGTGCTTTTAGTACACTACTGACTGAACGTAATAAACTGTATTGCTTTTTCAGGGCTCCAAATGTATACTTCAACAACCTTACCGCGGTGAATCTTGATGTGGAGTTGACAAGAAGCCGAAGAATTAGTTGCAGCTGCTGTGGACTTAAAGGCGCAGCACTTGGTTGTTACAATAAGAGTTGCAAGAATAGTTTTCATGTTACTTGTGCAAAATTGATACCAGAATGCAGATGGGACAATGTAAGTGATGCATATATGTTGAACCTCTATATATATAGTCCCTTACACAGTTTTTAAAAACCCTTTCTTGTCAACAGGAAAACTTTATAATGATATGCCCTTTGGAAACATCCATTAAGTTGCCCTGTGAGGAGACTACTAAAAAAGAAAGAAAACGCAAGTGTGCTCCTAAAGGGTATGTCATTTTTATCTACTGATAGGGATTATGATTTGATTCTAAATGATAAATAAGACAGCTGACAATATATCATTATTCTCGCTAGACCACTGCACTCTGAGACGAACCAAGTTTCTAGAAAAACAAACATCGCTGAGATCCAGAGCAAACACTTCCATGGATTTTCATTATCCAAGAAATTGATCATATCCTGCTCTGGGCTCACAGTGGAAGAGAAGGTATGTATATATATACACACTCTTTCACCATATGCAACCCTCAAGTTGAAACTTGTATTGAACTGATGGCTTTGATTGCAGACTGTTATTGCAGAATTTGCGGAAATTTCTGGAGTTACGATCGCAAAAAAGTGGGAGCCAACTGTTACACATGTCATTGCATCAATTGATGAAAACAGAGCCTGCAAAAGGACCCTCAAATTCATGATGGCAGTTTTGGAGGGGAAATGGATACTAACCATTGATTGTAATTCTTCTTTAACTATTAGCAATGACGCATATATATATGTTTGCAATGATCAACATATTTTCTAAGTGTTGTATATCTTCTCTCGCAGGGATTAAGGCGTGTATGAAAGATACAAAACATGTAAGCGAGGAGCCGTATGAAATAACCATGGATGTTCATGGAATACGAGAAGGACCTTATCTTGGAAGACAAAGAGCTTTGAACAAGGTTAGATTCGTCTCTCTGTGATTATTATTTCTAGTCTCTTTGATACAACCGACTCAGAGAATATTTCATCTAAATGATTTCATACTCGAATATGCAGAAACCAAAAATTTTCAATGGACTAAAGTTTTACATTATGGGAGATTTTGAGCTTGCATACAAAGGGTATCTTCAAGATCTGATTGTAGCAGCAGGAGGAACAATCCTGCGCAGGCGGCCTGTGTCTAATGACAATGATGAAGCTTCAACGATCGTAGTGTTTAGTGTTGAGCCTAGCAAGAAGAAAACTCTAACCCAAAGAAGATCTGATGCTGAAGCCTTGGCAAAATCTGCTAGAGCCAGATCTGCAAGCAGTTCATGGGTTTTGGATTCTATTGCAGGTTGCAAAATTTTAGACTTAATATAAAAAAAAAGTGAGATCATTTTGGGATTTATGCTCTCTTCAATAGGATTATGGAGTATTGTGTTCTTAATTATCTTTTTTTTTGCATTTTAATTATCTTTGTAAGGGTAGTATACTAGTATAGAGTGCAATGTCAATTAACTTAAGAACTATAAATATGGAGCATTGTGTTAATAATATGAACATTTTATCTATCTTTGCACCATTGGATTGACAATAGCTTCCACCGATTGGTATGTTCCTGAAATGACCACCACGAGTCATGTATCTAATGACAATTCTTGCAGAGCAACGCGGGTCAGATAAGCTATAGTTTGTTGTAATAACAGAACTTGGTGTTGTCCGAGTTACACTACTTGGGTGGGTGTAACTCAGACAACACCAAGTTATGTTATTAAAACAAACTATAGCCAATCTCAACAACGTAAATTCAGAACATTATCAAAAATAAGATGAAAAGCTTATGTTTTCAATTAACATTAAGAAAGTGGCAGATTTGGCTCTCGGAATCTGAGATTAACATGTTATTTCTTGCCAACAGCTTGTACCTATTTATATTGTTTTTTTCATGGCTCTTCCCATATATTCATAATCACCTAGAAATACATAAATCAATTATATTTTAATACATTCACTTTTTTATCCACAAAAATCAATTATATTTTATAGCATATGGAAATTCATTATATTGTTGAAAACAAATCATACATATTGACCAAAATTAGACTATAAATATTATATTTGAAAGAAAATTAATTTTAATTAAATTTCTAAGTCTTACATCATTATTGATTGCCAATCAATGATTGGTCATATCAGATATGTAAGCTCATTTTAATTAGATTATATATCTACTATATCACATTATAATAATATTTTATTTATTTCATATATCATATTTATATGTGATTGACACTTTCAGATAATTAATAAATGTTTTTGACCAAAAAATGATAATAATAAATGTATATTTATAAATATTAATTTATATTTATCTTTATTAACTTATACTGCAATAATTATATATATATATATATATATATATATATAATTAACATATGTCAAACATACATAAATTTGGTAAAATAAAGTTGCTTGATCCCCAATTTTAACTAAATCATTAAAAACAGAGACAAACTATAAAATTTGGTAAAAATAAAGCTACTTGATCCCCAATTTCAACGAAATCATTAAAACAAAGTCAAACTGTAAATTATATAAAACCTTAATATATTTGGTAAAAATAAAGTTACTCAACTTTTCAAGAAGTTATCAAGTGGCATGCATGGGCAAGTTAGGCGTAAATGGATTCAATTGTCTAAGTCTCTATTGAAAATTACATATCGATTCATGTTGGACCGTTATTTGTTTCTCTTCCAATTTTTGTATGTTTTAATAAGTACTTTGAACATTAGTTGGTCCAAGATCTCCAAATTGTAAATTTATAACCACGATAAATATATTAGCAATGAACAAGAGGCAGATTGCAAAGCAACGAATGGTAATTAGTTAATGACTAAATAATTAATTAAGCTTGCAAAAGGAAAAATAAGAAAAAAAGAAAATTAAAATTGAGAAAAATGGATAATTATATTATATTATACAAAAAAACGAAGAAGAAAAAGACCAGACAAGCAACTTTATAGTTGAATCTTTTGAGAAACAAAAGATACAAACCTTATTAACCAAACAAAGAAAGGAAACAAAAAAAGGGAAATAAAACTGAGACAATTTTGACTTATAATTATTATTATTAAAAAAAGAAAACCGGTAATACGGTTAAAGATTCAAGGACCATGCTTCTCCAAGTGACAAGGATGCTTAATCACACGGTTGTATTTGAGCCTCTTGATGTTGTCGCTGGTCACGGTCATGTCTTCAGGTCCTCTGCTTCCACTGGTGCTGGCGCCAGGATCCATGATTGCAGTGTTGTTGAAGCTCAGCTGGCTCCACTCGTATTGATCCACTTGACTTATGAGATAACCGTTGGGATTATCAACATAACCACCACCAATTGATTGGTTTATCATAGGGTTAACCGATCCAACATCATAGAAATCTTGTTCAAATGACACATCTTGGTAATCTATGAGATAATTTGGTAGGAAACTCTGAAATGGAGGCACATTTGCTAACATACCACCGTGAAGATCAGGGAAAAGACCGAAATGGTTCCCAAAAGGAGCAGCAGCACCAAAAGATCCAACAAAATCGTTGTTTTCTTGAAGGTATGGGAAATGTTGAGGATTGAATTGTTGGATGTCATGAGGAATCATACCGCGGGAAGCCGGAGGTTGCTCCACCCTTACCTTCTTGATCTTACGAGAACCCCCACCAATTGGTACGTTCCTCAAAGCCCCACCATGAGTCCAGTGCCTACGACAGTTCTTGCAGTTGTACCGCGGCTGGGACTTGCGGTAGTTGTTGAAGTAGCAGAACTTCGTGTTGTCCGAGTGACACCTCGGACACACTCGGTGTGGGGGCTTCTCACCATTCCTTGGGTTGGTGTCTTCATCGGCGAACACTAGCAAGTTATCCATATCTCTCAGGAAGTAGTTGTTTATAAGAAAAAGTTGTTGTTGTTGTTGTGATCTTTGGTGTTGGGAGGATGCCTTCTTATATAGGTTTTTTGGGGAGTGCAAATTAAGAAGTTGTAGGTTTGGGAGTTTAAGAAAGTGAGATTGAGAGAGAAACGTGTCAAAGATTGTTTATTAGTAAATCTGAAGATTTATCTACATACCATAAACCTATGTCTAAGCTTAGGCAAAATTTAAGGCTTTCTTATTTTCTTACTCTTGTTTGTATATGAGAAGTGGAAATCAAGAAATATATGATTAAATGATTTAATTTCATAAACTAGAAACAAAATCTAAGGTATTTGAGACTGTAATGACTAATTTAAGCTAAATCAATCATAGATTGTATTGTAAATTTACTATGTGAGGTAGTCATTATAAGCGCGTGTGCTCACGCTCTATCTCATAATGAGTTAGATAAGTTTTTGTATAGAGAAATATGTAAAATAGTTACACATGGCTAGAACATAGAGACTCCATAATGGAAAATGACCTAATTTTCGAAATCACACAAAACATCTAAGTAATTAACTTTAAATCTTTAATATAGATTTACTAGTATGATTTTTTAAGAAAGAAAATATAATACGTGTAAGCGAGTGCGGTTCACGCTTCTTCTTATTGGCGCATCATAAATTTATTATAAAAGATTTGATTTAGAAATTGAAAATTTATTATTATATTTTCATGAAAAAATTAATATATTTTAAATGGGTTACAACTGGTGAGAGTAGAAAGGGTTGAATTAGATACAGTCTACTAAAACTAAATAGAAAGAAGTAAGAAAGTTGTTGTCTTAGCGCCAATCTAGTTTAGGCATATAAAAAGTTACTTGTTTTAGTTACTTGCTCTAGAGGTAACTCAACGTACGAGACCACAAGCCCTTTAGACTGCTGGTGCTGTGGGTAAGCGACTGCTGAGGTTAAATGCTCACGCGATCAAAGTGCTTTCAAGTTTCTGATTTGTTCATCTGTATCTTTTGCTTTGTCATTAATCTAAAATCAAACTCAAGAAACAATGAGACAATGCTGTAAGAACAAACAAGCTGAGTTGAAATCTCACCGTCTGAATTACATTTGTATAACTCCCTAAGGGTAATTTTATGTAATGATTTTTTTTTTCTGGATAGAAAACCGGTGTAAACTCGAAAAACCCTCAGCTCCGAGGCTTAAAACTTAAAAGCGTCTAGTGAGGTTTGGGAACAAACCCATCAACCGCAAAATTTCTAGTAGCGGAAGGAATGGCTAAGCGGATTCCATCTAGCTCTGGTTTTGCAATGACTTGACATCCCAATCGTGACCTATAAAATTTCAATGAATAATGTAAACACTTTCAGTGAAAGCCAATTGAAACTACTTAAGTGTCAGAGGGAGAACTCACGTTTCTGTTAACCCGAAAGCAAGATCTAGCATATCATTCTCTTCATCTGTTGGTTCTTCGAGTTTGTTGTAGTATTTGGTGTCCTATTACAATGACAGTTTCAGCTGATTTAAAAAACACAGTTCATGATCATCTATGTAGATTAGTAGATAAGTAATTGTAATTTGTAAGGAAGAGATGGTTTTACCATAACAATCACATGGCACGTTGAACACGCTAGAGAACCTTCACAAGCCCCTAAAGATTGAAAAAAGCATAAATTTCCAATGAAAGGATCAATGAGACATTACTTCCTATCTTGGTTTAAGTAAAAAGAGCTTTCATCGGACAAATAAAAAAAGAGGAAGAAATGGAAGAAATTGTGCCTTCGAGTTCTATATCATTTTCATGAGCAGCTTCAAGGATGTTCATTCCAATCGGGACCTTAACATGAATTTCCTCACCATCTTTATCAACAAAGATAACGTTTATCCTGAAAAGAACATGAAATGCATGTATGTTCTTACATTCGGGCAACAATATCGTGTCTACATTTATTGTTGTATCAGAGTTGAATGTGTTATGAGATATATACAAACTTACTTTTCTGTATCCTGGCCACCTTTTTCAGAGGCCGTGCTGAAAGATGTACTAAGCTTATGATTATTCGAGAACAACGCTTCCTGAAAATGAAAACTCCTAGATTGCCTTTGTAGCAGTGGCTGTCGAGAAGAAAAAGAGCAAAGATGCTAAATCAAGATCTAATATGTAAGAGAACATGCCACAGACCCAAAAACCCAATCTTCATAGCTTATTCACTTACATAAGTCAACACATTAAACTGAGCTAAAGCCAAACCCTCTCAATTGATTGCTGAGCTTATATACTATAAGTAAGCATCGCATGTCTTATTACTGGCTAAACTATTTCATGATACTGAAAAGGATGGGTTCAGGATTCCTAGCAAAAACAAACTTAGTATTAACAGACAACAAGCTTTTACCTAATCCAAATTTCACTCAGAGAGGACAAACTAAGAAATCACAACACATATCTTAAAGCTCGATCGCAAATGGGAAGTGCCATGTCCTATACATGAGCTAGAAATAAAACCAATGCAACAAAACTTTTCATAGCTGAGAAGGAAGCTCAGACTAACCGAAGATAGCAGATATTGGCCATAAGACCTTTGTAGAATCCTCATTCCACGCACTGAGAAATGACTCTCTGCCCAAAAAGCATAATTTATGAGCTCTGCCTCCACCACCAAAAGTAAAGAACAAATTCAATTTTTTTAAAAGTTACCTCTCGGGAGCTCTTTAACAATGCGAGAACCTAATCTTGATAGCCTATGGAAGAACATGGTTTTTGGCGCCGCCAAAAGTTAATAGCTTAAACCTCGATGCAGTTCAAAATTTCACCTAATTGGGTTTGGGTGCCACAAAATAAAAACAAAATGAAGCCAAGAATCTAAACATATGGAAGCAGAAACAAGGAACGAAAAGACAATTCACATTAGAAAGAAGAAGTCAGAGAAGACAAAGGTGATTACTTTACGAGAGATTCGACGGAAGCTGAGCTCTTCAAGGTGGAGGAAAGGGCTAAAAGAGGATTTAGGGTTCGTACGTGGCACAAAGACAAACCTCCCTCCGTCGCAGATTCTCAGCTCATTTCTTTCTCTCTTCCACCAGAATTCTAAACCCTTCTGGTTTATTCTTTGTCGTTCCGACAATTTCTCTGAACCTTACCAAACCGGATCAAACCAATCTAAACCGATTTCCATATTGTATTCATGTATTGTTGTAACTATTGTTGTTGTACATTTGTATTTTAAAATTAACAAACTTGAAATTTCCATTACATTGGAACACTCTTATTGATGATATAATCATAACCCTCAAAACTGCAATGATTACAATTCTTTTCAATCAAAGAAAAAATGCGAAATTTATGTCTGTAATCTTCGTTTTATCGGCATAAATAAGTCCTTTAAAAGACTGAAAATGAAGCACCAAAACGAAAATGACACACTCACTTCTTCTATGGAAATCACAGAGAAAACTCTTTCAAACCAAAAAAGATTGTCGAGAAATAGGGAGGGAGAAAGATATGGATTTGCTCAGTGAAGCCTAGTGAGTTCCTCAACTCTCTTGCACAGCTCTTCCACTTGAACATCCATACCTTTAGAGATCTCCTCCATCTTACTCCTGCTCAGATCCAAGAACGATTCAATGAGATCTCCATCCAAGTAACTCTTCGCTTCTGCAGTTCTTTTCTCGTTGTTGAAGGATCTCCATTGCTCGTGACTTAGCCCACCAACTCCTTTAATCACTTTCCTCAGACTCGTCTGCAGTTTCTCTAGAAACGCATACTGTTCTTGAGGCAGAGAAGCTATCACTCCAATCATCCCACTGACAGTGCCAAATATCACAGTCTGTATCTGACCAATCTCTGAATCAGGCATCCTCATAACAAGAGAGCCATGGCGGAATCGGTTCACAAATTCCCCAATATGATACTCACCAACCACCTCCATACGAGCCCTTTCTTCATCTGTAGTACCTTCGTTGTTCTTCTTTACTGTGAATAGGTTGAAGCAATTATCAGCACCAAGGTAGATGTCATCATCGAGTATCTCAACTGCTGCCATCCAGTTTGCATTATAGTCACGAGCTCTCTCCTCGATTGCACCTTCCTCGTGCTTTAAAACAAACACAAATAGTCAAAAGAGTCACGGTAACTTCTTATAAGCATCACAATCTAAAGATTTCACATGCATTCACAAAAAAGATCGAAACTAATTTTGTATCAAAACATTATACCTTGTAAATCAATAACGATATTGATTTCATGAGGTCACCAACGACGATGAAGTCTCCACGGGTCTGGACATAGAGAGCTAGAATGTGACCGTGATGTCCACATTCAGACTGCAGCTCCCGAGTGCCATCATCGCGCAGCATCCACTTATATAACTGAATTTTTTGATTAATAGCAGCAAGAAGTTTGCCATTAAAAGCATTGAGAGAATAAACAGCTCCCTTGGTTTCCTTCTCTGTGATAAGCTGCAATCTCCCTTCTTCAACTATAAACACAAGTATCCTTCCCTACATCCACAATAGAAAATAAAAATAGAAGGATAAATTTTAACACAAACAAAACAAAACAGTCTTGTGTAATACTGAAATGTTACCTTAGTTGGTTCGTTTTCCTCGGGCAAAACATATGCCGTTCCAACACAATAATAGACATTTTTATCGTCTGTAAACGAGCAGCTCAATATGGAGCAACCGTATTCAAAGGCATCCAAAGGGTAAGTTGACAAGAACTCAAAACTTTGGGCATCCAGCAGGCGGACAAAATGCATTTCAGATTCTTCCACAAGTGGTTGGTTTCTCAAACAACAGATAGCAAATGTTCGTGTTTGTTCTTGATGGCAGATACGACGAGCATGCTCTCCAATAGGAATAGTGCGTATGTGAAGCTTCTGAATGGCATCGATGGTGCCAATTGTAAGTTCGCCTTCCCTGGCTATTGCTAGACTGCCCATGGAAGAGAAGAAGAACCAGATTTCACCACAATGTACTTAGGACCCAATGAATAAAACAGAGAAAGAAATTAGTTTACCTGTCTGGAAAAGCAGCAGAGTTGAAGGGACACATATGACTAACTTCTTTCAGATTCACGTTGCTGTATAACAGCTTCTTGTTGTTGCTATATATAACAGTTGGTCTATCTGATGCAGCAAAGACATGTGTTGCACTTTTAGATGAAAAAGTACGTAGAGTTATAGGCTGAGTCCCCAGTGATACTTTTTTCCGATCTCTTAATTTCCCGTTACTTGTATCCAACTGGAAGCTTAAGAGATGACCATCTCCAAGAGCACAGAGCAAGTAAGATATCTATGACAAATGAAATACCACTGTTATTAATATGGCAACCAAAGGCTGCATTAACAAGAAAAGATGGTCATTACACAACAATCTGAAGAAAATCATACCCCTTCAAACGCACAAAGAAGAACAGATCGGGGAATTATCTCTCCTCCTAGTTGCTCCTTAGTAATAAGAGTCAAGTCCGGCAACAAAAATATCCTCACACTTATATCTGTCCACATTCCGACTGCAGCTACCTGACTGTAATTAGGATTATCGCCAATGGGGTTTATGTCAAGACAAGAAACCTCGTACTCCAACAACACATGTTTGACTTCCGTCAATGTCCCATCCCCAATTTCTAGGTAGACCAAATGCCCACCTCCAGTGGCCAAAAGAACCTAACAAGTATATCATTCCAAATCACATTGCATGTCAAGAAAGGAGAAAGATACTAAAAAATACAAGTTGAAGAACGAAACAAAGTCACTGTATCATCAGATACTCCTAAAATTCTTCTCTCTGGGACAAATATTAGATATAACAGCTAGAAAAAATATACTATATAAAGAAGGACAGACCTGGCTCGCATTTGCAGTTGCAACATTAACAGTAAATCCAGCTGGGGCATCCCATTTATTCCGCAATTCTCTAGTTGTAGAACTGACTAATCTAACAGAATTTGAGGTAACCTGATTGAAAAAGATAGTAGTTAGTGCATGCTAGGGGAAAACATATAGCTGACAGGAAATTTTGTCTGAAAAAAACCAACAATGATGAAATACACAAGCACTCCTACATTTGATTTGCTTTGAAAGACCTAAGCAGTAAACTGATTACCCCTAAATACATAAAATATTATAGTGCAGGGAATTCCAGAGTAAAGAGAGCTCTGTGTTGTAAATCTGGAATAGACTTATCACCTATCAAACGGAATTCAAACGAAATTGTCCTGCCTTGTGGAATCAAACTAAAAGCAAAGGCATAGAAACTAATGAATGAGCACTGGCAAAACATACCTGTACAAGTTGGTTGTAGACAGCATCATGGCAAAATAATGTCTGCACTTGAGACAAGAAACCCTCAATCTCTGTTTCTTCTAGTTCATCCTCTATATTCATGGCTAATATACGAGTTTCACTGATAAAACTAACTACAAGGAATGTATCAAATGCTTCTTCAATTGAAGATTTCAAGGACCACATTCCTTTGATGCCTTGAAGTTCCACGGAAGCCTGCAATTGAACAGATTTTTATTATATTACATAAAACGGGAATATTGCTTACATGTCACTAGTGAGACAAAATGAAATTCCAAATATACATCAAACCTGTTCATTTATTCCTATCCCATTGCGAACTATGCGAAGAGAACCATCCTTATATGCTCCAGAGCAAGTTACAACTTGACCTTGCCCCTGCCTCTCAAGGTCAACCACACAAAAGTCGACAATAGGCCCCAAGTTGACATACTTTTCTAAAATTTCTACATATGAACCATTTGCATCTGGTTGCAAGTTTAGCTTAATTAGCTGCAATAAGAAAATAAGAAAATAAAAATTGAAAACGTTTAGATGGTTTAGGCTTGGATATTATACTAGCTCAAAGAAAATAACAATCGAAAGACAAATAACTAGGATACTGGTAACCATAGAATTATATAAGTTTACATTCATCAAAAAATCATTGTTTCAAAAGACGTAATGAGAAACCTATTTAATCCTAGCGTACCTGTGAATCTCCATAGCTTGAACCAACAAAGACGACAGCATTGTCAAGATACGAGATGGAAGATGCAATAGAGGTTTCACCCAAAAGCTCAATTTTGAGGCCAGAGACCCTTGAAATAAATAAAGTCAGAATATCCACATTTTATTCATTTCAAATGAATTATGTAATATTAACTCACTTTTCTTTCTCGTGGGTTATAACAAGCAGGTGAATCAGTCCAGCATGGTCACCCAGAAGATACCTAGAACCATCAAGATCAACTCTTCCATATGCTTTTGTGATGGACTGGACAATACATATTGAAGTCATGAGCCAAACTTGAAAATCAAGAGGAATACTCGCTGAAAGGTTATGCAAATGTTTATAGGACCATATGACATAACGTCAAAAATACTTACTGGTCTTATTGGTATTGCCTTGAATGCATTGGCACTACAATAAACGATTGTTTCTTCTCCAATGATAAGGACGCCACACAGAGGTGACGGCACAGGGATCAATAAGTCAGCACCATTGTCGAGATTGTTCTGTGACCATGGCCCTTCGACAAAGTCCTTATCCTTTAGAGAAACTTCATACGTTTTGACATGACGAGCATCTTTGTTGTCCTGTAATCCCAAGCATTAGTTAGTTCACCCAGAAAAAATCATAGGGTGCATTACACTGGATTAGCAAAGTAAACGAAGTTAATTGAAAAGATAAAATTAGGTGAAAAAAATACAACACAGTTTATTTGCTCAATTTCTGCTAGCTTACCAACAGAGCGGGTATGGAGAGAAAAAAAGAAAAGAAAAAAAGGATTTCTTTGATTAATATTGCTTACAGAGCTAGGTTCACATGGACAAAAAAATAGTCAAATATATATGATTAACAAAAGTAGTTCCATAGCATATCCATTTACATAAGTATGCTAACCTGATAGAGTACTGCAATTGTTGGCTTCGCGCATCCATACAGAAACTTGATATCTAGGACCTGCAACTCCTCCAGCCTGCAATTAAGCAAATAAATATTAGATTAAGTGTTGTGTTCCTCAAAATAACCACATCTGCAAGAGTTAATTGAGGGTTAGGACAGAAGCTGATGCATGGAAACAAGTGGTGCACTAGAGCACACACGACTAACCAACAAAAAAACAGAGGAAAACATAAGCTTGATAGCATCCAAATTGCAGCATTTGACTGAAAACAGTACCTTATGTTAAAAGCTTCCTTGAGCTGTCCTTTATTGTCAAATGGAATAACCTAACAGAAGAACCCAATTAATAGAATAAACATTCAAATAACGTCCATTCCAATTGATCAATGGGAGCTCAGTAATATGATATGGACACCAAACTTGCATACTATGAGTTTAATTTCTTTTAGAAGATAAAACCATACCTTAAACAAGCCGTCATACAGATGGAGACCAATTACTCTGCAATCAGGATCAATTATACCAATCTGCAAAAACAGTGTCAAGTAAAACTCAGCATCAAACATGCCACATAACCTTAAATTATAGCACAGATACAATTGAAGAAGGAAAAACAAAATCTAGCCACTATGAAAGGTACAGTGTAGTACTACTGAACTCAATACCTGACCATTGTCTGTCGGTCGGCCTATACGATCAGAAACATCCCCCATTGCCCTATAAAATGTTCAAAAGATATTTAGAATCAGGAGTAAGGGTAAGAGTAATTTTGTATACTGAGTAACATAACTAACATTTAAACAGTTATGTTAGCGCCACGAAGTTTTTTTCAGGATTTGGATATACTCTAAAGTACATATAGATAGATGATCCCAATATAACTGGGATTTTAGAACATATTCTGAACAGATAAGATGAGTTCTATCTAAAAGACACAACCTGATCCCATGCACTACTATGCACATAATTACTAAACTTTGATCCCTTTCTAACACTAAATTCGAATAAATTACATTACAGGAGCATATAACACATTCGGTTGCTTAAACGTCATCTGATAGCATGAAATATTTATATGTTTCGGCAAATTAGACCTTGTAATGAGCTCAGAAGACTCATAATCCCATTGAAGAACACAGAATTTATATCTCTCAGTTGCAATAAACAAAAAATCTTGAGCTTCACCCTGCAGAAGATGAAGTACTGTCAATTAACATCGACACTTTCTTAATACCTCAGACTGATAAAAGTATGCAATATGAAAAATATACTCACATGGGGACGGAACAATTCCAAAGTTGCGATCCTCCCATATAGAGGAACATCCAGTATAGTCTGCAAAGTCAAAATCACTCAACGTATCCGATACAAATGGGGGCTCTATTTTTACGGAATAAGACTAAAAGTAACAATAGCATTTTACATTTCCACTCTTAATCCATGGAACTTATTATTACAAAAGTGAAATGAACTTAGATGGAAAAGCATAAACCGAGTAATTAAAATAAGAGATAATGAAGTACCTGAAGTCCCTGTGGACTAAGCAGATGGATCTCGATCCGAGTGGATTTCCTGAGAAAGGTAAAAATACTGTTACCAACTTACAGCAAATGAACCATCTCTAAAAGAAGATACTAAATGTTAAAGAGAAAATTAGATATCTTCCGAAACCATATACTGAATTTCAATTCCCCAGAATTAAGCAAATTTAAATCTTCAAAAGCATTAGCGTGTTTTTTTTATCTTTAACATGAAATCAATTCCAGAGTAGATCAACAGATGAATCATTTGTGTACATCTCCCAGATAAACAACCATCCACCACATCAGAGAATCCCAAATAGATTATGAAAACCCAATACACAGCTCTCAAAGTAGAGGCAATGCGAGTAAAATCAACTCCTGATGGGAACTAGCTTCCTATAAAACCCTAAACCCCCAAATTAACATCTGCACACAAAAATGTAGAGGGGCAACAAAAGAAAACAAAAGGGAGAGAGGGAAGCTCCATACGCAACAATGAGATTGAGTTCCTGAGGACTAGTGAAGTTTCCGACGCAAGAGTGAGTGACACAGGTCGGTTTTTGAGCCGTAACGACGTAGTTCCATACGCTCATCTTTCTCCCTCGCCCAGAAGCTAGGGTTTTCGCTTTCTGTGCAACTCGCGTGAGAAATTTCCCGCCTCTTTTATAAGAAGTTTGTGGATTCTCTTTTGAGGTTTAAAACGAAAAAAAGGAAGAGAAAGAAAGAGAGAGAGCGACGATGCAAAGAGAGGGAGAGAGAGGAGGCGAAGAAGAAAGAGAGAGACGCCTTAAGAAGAACGGCCGGTTCAGAACACAAACCTGAAATTAGAAAGACGGTACGATCCGGTTTGGTATATAACTGAACTTAAAGTTTGATTCTCTAGTCAATTTGGGCCCGGCCCAACTGATGATGACACGTTAAACCCAACCCTAAGACGATTTCAACCTCATTTGTTCTTGTTCTTCGTCATCGATCTGCGCCTGCGATTATCTCTCATCGCTCTCCTTCCAAAATCCCCTCATCTCCTCGATTTAATTTCTCTCCGGTAAGCTTCTGAAATTTTTCCTGTAAGATCGATTTTGATTTCGTAGCAATCGGGGTGTTTCGTTTCTAATCATAGATTTCTTCTTTTTCTAAGGTTTGTGTCCGTCTCAAATTTGTTTTCGATCGATTATTGAAAGTTTCCCTAGTTTCAATCGGGATTTAAACTTTTACAAGTTTTTCTAATGGCGTTGATTTTGATCTCTGCGATGTGTAATCTCTAATTCGACTGTTTACACACACTCAGATCCAGCCATAGCCCCATTTTGATGAAGGGCATAAAACATTTTTGATAAAAATGATGATACAAGCTTAATTTGGATGTATCAATTTGTATCTTGAATTCAATTCTAGTTATTATCAAATGGTTTGTTTTATCAGTATGTGCTTCTTCTATATAAATAATGCTTTTGTTTTTATCAGTTTGGTCTTCTGTGTAAATGCGTTATTATCTCATGTATTGGTCATACGTTTAACGATAATATGGTGGTGGCTATGGACTTGCAGATCATGTTGACTGAAACTCCATTTAGGCCACGAGAGAAGCTTCTTGAGAAGCAGAGATTGTTCCAGAGCATCCAAAGGCACACCTATTTGAAAGGACCAATGGACAAGGTCACCTCCGTTGCAATTCCTCTTGCCTTGGCTGCAAGTTCCCTCTACATGATTGTGAGTTCATATGTTCAGTTCCTTGCTGGTTTTCACAACTTTATATTCCTTGCATGTTTGTGAGTTCATATGTTCAGTTCCTTGCATGTTTTGTCTTTGAATCTATCTATTATTCTTTTGGAACGCGTTTTTTGAACTTGCTACGTCCACTAGATTGTTTCTGCAAAATTCCAAATGCTCTAGTTCTATGGGTTTTTCTAATATATATCATTGATATTGCCTCAGCTTTCCTAACCTGTTCATCATCTAACTATGAAAACATGTGTTTGGCTGAGTCAGGGAACAGGGATCTACAACATGTCAAATGGAATCGGCAAAAAGGAATAAGCAGTTTCTTCTTCTTTTTTCCTGTTTCTTTTTTATGCTTTTTGGTTCCTCTATGTATCAGTGGCTGCCATATGCAGTAGCAGACTAAGGTTTACACTGGTCTTGTTCTTGAAGCTGTTTATTGCGTTTTGCCAAATAATTGCTTAGTCACCCAGACAATGTCGAAAGCTAAAGATGTTTGATGTTGTTATAAAGTTCCAATGAATCATTTGGGTTTGTTCTTTTTCGCATTTTTCTTAAATTTCTATGCATATGTGGTCTTGTCTATTCATATGATATTTGTTGATTTGAACTTGAATGTGAATGCATTTGAATGCAACCATGGTCAATGTGGTTATGTCGTATAACAAAAAAAACAAAGGAAGAGGTTTAATCAAAATACAAAGACTGGTTCAATTTTAAGTTGTTCCACTGATTTAATTTCAGGATCTATAATGCAATAAAATTAAATGAAAAATGAATTCAAAATATTCATAAATTTTAAAACCCTTTGTTATGTGATTTTCAAATTTTCTGAGAATGACTTGTCAATTTAATTAAAAAGGTACAAAACACAAATACACGTGTATCTCTTATCCCTCAGACCGGCCGAGGACTTGTTTATACCGAAGCCAACCCTAAAGAAGAGTAAAGAGCTTCGACGACGTTGCTTCTTCTTCCTTGTCCCTGCGCCGCCGCGATCTCTCTTCTTCAACTTCTTCGTCCTGTCGTTTAGTTTCTCCGAAAGGTACGCTTCTTCAATTTCCCTCTTAGACTAATCTTGCTTCGCACCTCTGCAATCGTTTCGTTTCGCTTCTGAACCCTAAACTTTCTCCCTTTTCTAAGTTTAGTGTCGATCTCAGATCACATAGATTGATAAACCCTAATTGTTCCCGTTATATCACTCAAACTTCACCTAGAGTGTTCTGGATTTCGTTAGGATCTTCCGTCTGCGTCGCGTTGATAGTAGCCTCGATGTAGAAACCCTAATTTTGAGGAACCTTAAGTTTCATATGCTTAATTGAGATTCTTAGGAACCCATGAAAGTCTTAGAATTCGATTTTCGTTTTCTTTTTTGGAGACAGACTTAGCTCAATTCGTTACTGTGTATCACATTGTTAAATTGCTTTCTGTAGAAGATGCCGAAGGTTAAAACTAACCGAGTCAAGTACCCAGAAGGATGGGAGTTGATCGAGCCTACTCTTCGAGAGCTAGATGCTAAGATGAGGGAAGGTTTGTGCTCAATCTTGATTTTGCTATATCTCAATCTCAGATGCTTAAGTGTGAGTTTTTTTTCCTTCTTCTGTTAGTGGTCTAACTATTTTTGTTCGTTGTGCAGCTGAGATGGATACTCATGATGGCAAGAGAAAGTGTGAAACTTTATGGCCAATCTTCAAAGTTTCCCATCAGAGGAGTCGGTATGTATATGACCTTTATTACCGAAGGGAAGAAATTTCTAAAGAGCTGTATGAGTTTTGCTTGGATCAAGGCTATGCGGATCGTAGCCTGATTGCGAAGTGGAAAAAGGTGCGTTTTGTTGTCATTCTTTGTTAAACTTTTGTCTGTGCACCTCTTTTTTTCTTAGTTGTCTGAGGCCAAATTGAAGCGAATATTGGAGTTTCTGTAGTTGATTTGCATATTACATTTGATTGAGGATGTGTAAAATATTGTTGAGTTAGTTTAGGGGACCTAATATCGCTCTAGTGCACAATGGATCTCGAAGCTATTTCTCTGAACTTGGTGTATTAGTATATGCAATCTATTGGAATGATCTTAACAAAAAAATAGGTTCTAGACGTTAGCTTGTTGTTTTCTTTGGTAGGGTCCAAAATTTCTGATAATATTTAGGAGGAACAAGTATTGCTTCTTAAGATATGTTTTCTCTGTTTGTTGAAACTGTCACTTAGATAGACCATTTCTCTGTTTGTTGAAACTGCTTCTTTGCCGAATCCTGACTAGCTCTAACATTGCTTCTGAACATCATCTGAAATATGAACAAGTATTGCTTCTTGATAATGGTTTCTCTTGAATCCTTGTCAACAAATTCCCCTTGCTTTCATCTTAGAATTCTGATGCATATCCTGTTTGTAGGCATTCTTATCTGGACATTGACCTAGATTAACTTTTGTATTCTTTCAGTGAATAAAGATTGTGTTCCTTTGTTATGTGTCTGTGTTTGTTACTGACTCTTTTTTAAACTCTCTGTTTTGTGAATTGCAGTCAGGATACGAACGTTTATGCTGCTTGCGTTGCATACAGCCAAGAGACCACAACTATGGAACAACATGTGTATGTCGTGTTCCCAAACACTTGCGTGAAGAGAAAGTGGTCGAATGCGTTCACTGCGGTTGCCAAGGATGCGCAAGTGGCGATTAAATTCTACAGCTTTATGCACAATCCCTGACTGTTTGTTACAATTCTATCACTTGTTAAATCTTGATTATGTGTACCCATATAAAAGGCTAAAACCCTGACTAAATAAATCCCCTTGCAAAGCCTCTACCATAGCCTTTTACACGTATCAGTTTACTAACGCTGTGCTTTATTATTTTCCATCTTTTTGAAAATAAATCCCCTTGCAAAGCTTTTTTTACTCGTATCAGTTTGCTTACAGATCAATTTAAATCTCATCACCATCTTCTATCTTTCACACAGGACTTTATTTACGAAACAGTTAACACTAAAATTTTATAGAAATCACAATTGCGTCGGAAAGATGTGACAACCATTGTTCAGATTTCAGAATAACATAGACCTGCGCGCCTCTGTACCTATAGGACAACAGAAGATAAACCGTTACAATTGTACAACAGTACAAGTCAAATACCTTTGACAATTTCAGTGGCCTCATTGATCAAGAGTATCTCATCCAAACCAGGGCTCATGATCATAAAAAACAAAACTCTGGGTGGTGCAAAGAAAACTAAGTCTCCTGGATAAATTGGATATTTGGAATGTACCTTTGTTTTGTTCCTTTTGTTTAACGTAGTGAATTTGGGTTTTGTATAGAATATAATATGCCAAAGGTTAAAGAGACTAACCGAATCAAGTAGCCAGAACAGAAGGATGGGGTTTCATTGAAACTGTCACTTATCTAAAGGAAACTAATTTTGACTTTCAAGTTTTATTATTGGTCACTATACTATGGTTGACCCTGAAACAATAATGGTTGTCCACATATGTGGATCAAGATTCGTCTTGATGACAAGGATTAGTTATTTTTTTAAGTCTTGTTGTACATATACACTCGTATCATTCACATATGCATGCGTTGACACACGCAAAAATAAAATGAAAAAATACGCGGGGCGTCACTGATACATGTGTAGGAGCAGCTGACGCAAATTAATGAAATAAGAGAGAAGATTCAAATCGAACCATCATAATAGAGACATTGACCTGAGCCTTTTATAGTGGGCAACAAGACCCAATTGTAATATATTCTCGTCCATTTGTGATTTTGGGAGAATAATACTGTACTTACAGTTAATTAAATGACGACAACGAAAAGTTTCCATCATAAAACGAAAAACAAAAAAAAATTAAGGTTCAAAAAGGGAGGAAGATATCCATTGAATGCTCCTCTATATATTTTAAGACGTTTTTATTTCCTAAACTTTTGTTCATATGCAATATCTTGATAACTTACTACTCTTTAAATACAAATATCATGATTAATTCTCACATGATTTAGTTCCTAAACTTTGGTTCAAAAATATATTATCTTGATTTAATGGTTATGTGATCCTCACATCAATCTTATGTAAAACGTTTGCAAAGACAAGTATACTTTCTTCTTTAGCTCCCAATTCCCAACTTCTACTAGTAACTTACTAGTTACTGCTCTTTAAATTCACATACCACATACATACACATGAGACATGATCTTTCGTTTTGGCTAATTGTTAAAAATTATTTAATGGTTTATTAGAGAGGTAAAAAGATAACCCAAATATAAGTATCACAGTTCTTGGACCCTAGCTATACTATTATTGTTATAATTCGATTTACTCCTTTATGGTATTTTTCAAAAAGGTCAAAGAATGCAACTACTCAACTAGTGACTCATAATAGATAATAACGCAATCTTATGGGTTGATTATATTTAATTCAAGGATTCCATATTTAATTTATACGGATCGTAAGTTACACAAAACTATTAAATTCACAGAAGCGTCAAAGGGTAGCTACTATAACTAAGGCAGACTTCAAGATCCCAAATATTCACTTTTCAGTTTCATATAATTCTCTGTATTTTTTTCCAAGTTTCTTCTCTCCATTACAAACAGAAAAACCGATCTCAGATTCTGAATCTGAATCAGAATCTAGATCGTAATTAAATAATTTCATTGTCCGAACCAAAAAGAAAAAGAAGAAGAAAATGGCATCGGAACAAGGCGGTGGCGAGGGGTTACGTCAGCGAGGATGTTCATGCACGAAAGAAGATTTCTTACCGGAGGAATCATTCCAAAGCATGGGGAATTATTTAAAAGCGCTTAAAGAAACACCGAGTCGGTTCTTGGATCGTATCACGACTCGGTCGCTCGACACCGACGAGATCAACGAGATAAAAGCTCGTAGTGGTCACGAGATGAAGAAGACGTTGACGTGGTGGGATCTGATGTGGTTTGGTATCGGTGCGGTCATTGGCTCCGGTATATTCGTTCTCACTGGGCTTGAAGCACGTGAAACTTCCGGTCCAGCTGTCGTCTTGTCTTACGTTGTCTCCGGTGTTTCCGCCATGCTCTCCGTCTTTTGTTACACCGAGTTCGCCGTTGAGATTCCCGTTGCTGGTAATTATAAATCCTCAATTACCTCAATTTACTATTTCTGATTTTCTTTCTATTATATATAAAAAAACGGTTGAAGAATAAATAACCATAAGAACTTAAAAATTTGTTAACAAGGTTAAAATGAAAACAAAATGTTGCGTATATCATTTATCATTATTTTAATCTACTTGATTCAATTCATTATTCCGGATAGTTAAATCTTTTATTTTATTTTTTGGTTGGTTCGGTGTGAATTAAGTTTAGCCCCATGTTCTCGGAAGTCCCAAGCTAGTGTGTATAGACAGCATAGTGGTCATAACGAAAGAGACGTTTTAACATACAAATTTCTCTTTTACTTATTACATTCACATATAAAGACCGATAGAATAAGCCATACACTATGCTCTTAATTACTACTTTTAAACGCATAAGAATATAGTAATTATTTTGCCCTAGTGTAATTATTTAGGTTCAAACTTTCCGAATTTCAAATGATAGGACCACGATGATTGTATTCTTCGTATAGAACAAAACACTACTACTGTATATTGAATTTTCAACTCTCGTGGCGTGACGGTATCTCTACGAGGTCAACTAGTTGACTTCTCGTCCAGACGTTCACACATACACTTACTGACTTATCTTATCCATCTATCGCCATATGTTATTATTTTAAACTTTGATAGTCTAGCTACAATATTGTTGACAAACAAATCACAAACTTGTTCAATGGGATGATTTATTACTATTTTTGAGTTGATAGTTAAGCTACTCGTAGTTTGTTTTTCACTTTGGTAAAGATTTGTTGCCATGTAATTAGACTTTTTTTTTTATGGCTTTATATATGTTATTAGTCGGCAATAATATTTTAATTTCCTATCTAAAAGTTATAATTAATTCAAAGTTATTATTTCCGGCTGGGGTCTACTTAGAAGATTTTAATGCATACTGACAAATATTATCATTTCCACGTTTTATTATAAAAATAACTCCAAATCCAAACGAGATTTCATATAATACTAGTTTAGTACCCGTCCGATATACGGGTTATCTTTATTTAAAATTAAATTAAAATTAAAATTTATTATAACTTATAAAAAATAATTTCCAAATTTGTTTTTTGAAAAAATAAGAGAAATTAATTTCATTTGGAAAGAGATTTTATTTGGTTTGAAGTATCAAATAAACGTGTATATATATATATATATATATATATATATATATATATATCTCTCTTAAAATTCGTTATTAAACGTTAATTATAAAAATCTAGTAACGTCAAATTGACAATCACCAAAATATTTGGGAGATATTTGGGAGCTATTCACCATTACTCATAATATTGCTAAAATATTTTTAAAAATCTTAATTTAGCAATTATCCTCTAAAACATGATAATACCGTTTGGTAAAAATTTTTATTTCTTAACTTAAATTTTTCAAAAAATCATTCTCAGACTATGAAAATTAATTAATTATTATTTAATATGATGGTAAAGTTCTTTCAAATTAACATCAATCTAAAATATGATGTTAAATACAAATATAGTCATTTGTAAATAAATTCATATAAACAACGCAAATAAACATAAAGATTCTAAAATAAATTATAGCATCGTTGAGGAAAACATTCAAAAATCTTTCAAATACGAATTATAAAAAACTACATATTTTCTTTAAAAATATTTTAAAATTGCTATATTACGATTTATATTGAACTTTGTTATCTTTAATTTAAGCTAAAAATATTATTTTCAAAAATCTTTTATTCACCCTTATATTTTAGACAATGAAATTGCTCAATGGTATAATATATTCATACATATATTAACAATTAAACAA